TACTCACCAACTTCGATTTCTTCCTGGTGGACGAGGATTTCGGAATAAAATTAAAATAATTCAATTCCTGTGTACCTGCTGCAAATAATTACTTTATTTTTCGATTTTATCTGATGCAGGATGTTGGTTCATTTTTCCATTGATTTATTTGATTGATGAATGAATGAATGATAGCCACACGTCATGTCAAAGGCAGAGATAGAGACAGGCAGAGAGTTGTTAACAAAGAGTAATCACCGTCTCGAAATTTAACAACTACGATCAATGATTTATTTTGGGTTTATCATTAATTTGAAATACTTTGAGCATACGGCTAGCTTTTTTCTCAATGCTTACTTAATAATTACAGAAAAAGAATACCTAAACTAAAAACGTTATCGTCGCGTTATTTCCAATAGTTACTAGAACGTTGAGGAGGCTTATTATCTTATTAATTTTGTTTGAGAACGTTGAAAGTTCACAAATACAATTTTTAAATAAAAGTCAAGGGTCACTCACTCACGACTCACGTGGTGCTAGCACTGCTAGCCAAGTTCCTACTCTTACTACTTCTTATAAACTCTCTGAACAAATGACATTTTTATCTGACAGCTAATTTGACATTTTTAAAATGTTTATTAATTTCACTCATTCTTCATTCATTAATTATTTTTCATCTGTGTTTTTCATTGTCCCTTCTCCGTTGTGTTGTCGTGATAAAATAATAAGTTTTAACTTGGAAACAAATGTTCATTTTTATTTTTGTAACTCCCTAGCTCATTATTTTGCTACCTTTGTTTCAGATAATGTGAATTTGTAACATATAAATTAAAAAATGGTAAGCTACAATATTTAATTTTCATAGTGCTATCTATCAACATGATGTGACCTAATGAATTGGTACATAATTTAATGTGATTCAGAGTTATCAGGACGAGGCTAATTGCTACGTGGGATCATTCCCTAAGGACTTCAGCTATGGACCTTTGGAACAGAATGGTGATGGCGATAACACGTCATTGCAGGAGGATCGTAAACCTCGGATACTTTTGATGGGGCTACGAAGGTAGCAAATTTAGATATTAAATTATTACGTTATTATTAAATATATTTTGTACTTAATATAAATGTATTCTTCGTAAATTTTTCAGGTCGGGAAAATCATCCATACAAAAAGTGGTTTTCCATAAGATGTCACCCAATGAGACCCTATTTTTGGAATCTACTAATAAAATAGTGAAAGATGACATTAACAACAGCAGCTTCGTACAGTTTCAAATTTGGGACTTTCCAGGACAAATAGACTTTTTCGACCCATCATTTGAATCTGAATCTATATTTGGTGGATGTGGAGCATTAGTATTTGTCATTGATGCTCAGGTAATTAATTTTACTGCACAAATTAATTATGCAAGCAGATAATTGATAGGTCCTGTTTACCACTTCAGATGGTAATGGAAAGTTACAATTTGAAAGTTTTCGCCACATATTTACTGATTATGATTATCTGACCAAACAGTCTGGCTCATAAAGTCATTCATTAGTGTAGTGTTGAATGTTGATATTATACAGCAAATTATAGTTGTAAATATGTATAGTATAGTCTTTAACAATGTTAACTGTTATTAGTCTTATCAAAAGCATTTATACATTATGCCATTTACAGCTTCATTCCCAGGATTTGTGAAATAGGAAAGAGGATAAATTTACCAGAATTTTTTGCTTATTAACCAGCACCTAATTAATGTAATGTTAATTTGCACTAATTAAAATTAATTATTCTCATTTCTCTTTTAGGATGATTACCAAGAAGCATTGGATAAATTACAACTTACTGTTACAAAGGCATATCGTGTGAATAATAATATTAAGTTTGAAGTGTTCATTCACAAGGTATGAAACATTATTATTATTTACATATTTTGATTATGAAAGTGATGAATTTTCTTATTGGAATAAAGTATTATAGTGATGTAACTAAATAGAAATCGACTGTATTACAGGTTGATGGTCTAAATGATGACTACAAGATGGAATCACAAAGGGATATACATCATCGGGCCACTGAGGACCTTGCAGAGGCTGGCTTAGAGCAAGTGCATCTGTCGTTCCACTTAACTTCTATATACGATCATTCTATATTTGAAGCATTCAGTAAAGTGGTGCAAAAACTAATACCTCAACTTCCAACACTTGAAAATCTTCTAAATATTCTCATTTCGGTAAGTACAAAAGTATTTTCCTTCTTGTTATGAAAAATATCTTTTTTATGGGTGTTTTATTAATTCGTCTTGTTTTCCTTTCAGAATTCTGGTATAGAAAAAGCATTCCTTTTTGATGTAGTATCAAAAATTTATATAGCAACTGACAGCTCACCAGTGGACATGCAAAGTTATGAGCTCTGCTGTGATATGATTGATGTGGTCATAGATATTTCTTGCATCTATGGGTAAATATTTTAAAGTATAGCCAGTTTGATAAAAATGATTTTTGCTGCTGTAACTATAAATAATTTTGTTTTTTTTTTATTTACAGTATGGTGGATGAGACTGAGGCAAATACTTTCAACAATCAGAGTTCCAGCCTCATTAAACTTAATAATGGCACTGTTCTTTATTTGCGGGAAGTCAACAAATTCTTGGCCCTAGTCTGTATATTGCGTGAAGAAAACTTTCAGAAACAAGGTAAATATTATTATAGCCTGACCAGGAACATAAAAACCCTGGCATAGAGGCGCCTCAATTGAATTTGATAGTGCAAAACTGAGTACAGTCGTACCTGTGTTAAATTAATAGGCTAACTTTATGTATCAGGATTACGGGCTAATTTGATATTTTCATAAATTAACGAAAAAATATTATTATAGGTAACCTGGTTTAAATAAATTAAATGAAACCATCAATCGAGCTAGTAGGATTTAGTTTATTATTCATCAATAATCAAATTCAGAACTTGAATATTCAACTACAATGTCTGCTCATGAACGCATCAAACTCGGTACTTCTTTCACAATTCCATAAAATTCAACACTTAGAAAGTGACAAAAAACTTTAAAATAGGTAGTTGAAACAAACCACAGCTAATTTTCATAATGGACTGTACTATGTATACGATAATTTGATAAACATGTCAGTCAATTTGACAACCTTTGTCGGAAACATTATTCAATGAAAATATTGTCCGAACCCTTAGTATTTCTCTTCGACAAATACTTTAACACATTGTGAACCACTTTTCTTTCACGACTTTAAAAAGATTTTAGCAATTTTATTCACAAAATCAATTGCACACATTTAAAATATAGTTTGTTTACACTTTGACAGCAATAGACTGACATGCAAGGTGACAAGTCAATGAAGTTTTCAGTTACTGTTGCCATTAAAAGAAATTAGTACCATTAGTTTTCCGCAACATGGCGAGGGTTTTTATGTTCCTGGTCGGGCTATACATTTATTTATGGTATTGGCTTGATCAAAGATAATAAATAACTTTCTTTTTTTAAATTAACTATGATGGGTGACCACTGAATTTATCTGAAATGACAAATTGGTGTGACTACCAGCTAGACATCACTGTATCCCACATCAATCTGTATTGCTTCTTCTTCTCCTCTATGGCTATTGTGTTTCCACATTCAATCTGTATTGTGTTGATAAGTAAACATAATAATAAATCCTTTTCCAGGTGTGATAGACTACAATTTCCTCTGTTTCCGTGATGCCATCACGCAAGTGTTTGAGCTACGAAACAAATGTCAAAACGCCATCGCTATGTCGAGGGCTACCTCTGGCACTCCCGAGCCTGTCCCCAACGGCGCGGCAGACTCAGTGGAGAGCGCGTCAGACAGATCACAGGTTCAGTTACCATAGCATAAAATATCTTGTAACATACCCATATCTTACGCCTGTAGTTATGTGATTACTTAATAGAAATCATTTATGTACATTTATATTGTTTAAATAATTAATAATAAAGTATATAACTATGTTTTTAATATGTCTATTCTTGTACTTTAATTATATCCTTTAGAGTTGAAACAGCTACAACTACCTCCATTACATAAGGACTTCTATATTTATTATAAAATAAATAAATTTTAATATAACTATTTATTTGTATTACTTGGACTATTCTCAAATAAAGGTATTTCGTTAGGTATAGGTCCAGATAACACAACCATTTTTGTGACACAATTTGATACACACACGCGACGCATAAGTCCACTTGTGGCGTATTCCACTATTCCCCGTTGACAATCCCCGTCAACGGAGATTAGTGAACTTTTTGTTCACTATTCCCCGTTAACACCAATTGGAGCTTATAATGTTAAAAATAAAATCCTAATATAACGGGGAATAGTGAACAAAAAGTTCACTAATCCCCGTTGACGGGGATTGTCAACGGGGAGTAGTGGAATAAGCCACGCTTGTGTACGCAGAGTTAGCGCCGCGTAGCCGCAGTCATGAGCAGGCGAAAGTTGAGACGGATGAATCAACACAAGCAAAAATAATGTTTATAATTTGTAAACGCTCACTGCGCTGTGGACGCCGTCGCCGTTGCATTTAGCAAACAGCACTTTGACAGCACTTAGTTGTAGCAAGTGAAGGCACGGTGTGAAGGTATTCTATATTTTTGAACTAGATCTTTCTGTGCTTACAACGAGTTTACTGCGTAAAAAAATTGTCATTAAATGTATAACAGTTGTACAGCGCCCCTAGCGGCTACTTTCAAGAACTAAAATCTTCATAGATTTTTTTGACGTAGGTGCCGAGCACACCTAAAGGCTATATTTCACCGGGACACCATGGCGGCGCAACCAGTCGCCGCTACCAATAAAATGTATACAGCTCTATAGAGTTATTCACCTGGTGTCCGTTTGGTTGCGCAAAGCTGTATACATTCCGGTGAAATATAGCCCTAACGTAAACTACTAATGGTAAGCACACAGTGTAAGTAAATACGTGTTCCCCTCAACTTTCACTGCGAGACATTACGATTTGGCATTGGAAAAAATACAAGAATGAATTTATATAATAACTTTAATACGAGTATTAAAATATAAATCTACAAATCATATAAGACGAGTATCGTAATACAAATTACTAGAGGACGGTTTTCTACATTTACAAGCATAATCGCTAGCCGTGACCGACGTGGCCGACGCGGAGGGCGCGGTGCGGAAGGGGGGGCGGAGGGGCTTGGAGGCGGCGGCCACGAGGCGGTCCGCGCTGCCGCACGGCTCGGCCGGCCGCAGTCGCCGCGCGCGCTCCACCCGCGCCCGCTCCACGCGCTGCGCGTGCGCCACGCTCGCCTGCAGACCCGCGATGCTCTCCGTCCGCGCCGGCAACCGCTCCAAACTGTTCGACACCTCCCCCACCTCGGCCGTGTCCGTGTCCACGATCTCCTTGTGGTCCAATATCATCCCGATGTTCAACTTCAGATTCGCCGACCCGTCCCTGAATATCAAGTACACGGTCGCTTGGTCCAACACCTTCAGCGAGAAGCTCTCGTTTATCTTGAGAGCCTTCATTTTTATCTGGAACGGCTTGAACTTTTGGGTTAATTTCTTGCTTTTTTCCTTTATGAAGTTGTCGAACTCGATCGCCAGCATCTCCTCGTTGTCGGGGCGGGCCTTGTTGTCTCCCGGCCCGCCGAGCTTGACTATGTCGGGGTCCTTGTGCGACATTTGCGTGTCGATCATGACTTGCTGCAGGACCGGTGGATCGTTTAACGTGTGCCATTTCCAGTGCGAAACGGGACCTATCGCTCGATCTAACACCACTCCTTCTGTTTGGTTATATTTCAACCTGCAACAATAGGAAATCTGGTATAAGTCAAAGAAGCAAGATTTTCGTGGAATATAAATCCAAGAAGGGTCATAATGATCTTGTGAGAATTTATCGTTTGCTATTTGTTAGTGTAAAACTACATACGTACCTAATTTTCCCACTATGATCGAAGACTACGCCATTGCCGAGGTAGTCGAAGGTTGCAAGGATGGTGATAGGTCGGGAACGGCCGCGCTCGTCGGGCTCTCCACTGCTGTACACCACATATCTTTGCTGTGCGTTTGTTTCTGTAAAAAAGGTCTTGCTATTAGTCAACTTTCTATTAATTATAATTATGTTATTTTATGCGTGCAATAAATAATTCAGCTTTGGGTATTACCGCGCTTACCATTTCGTGGTAGATTAATTTCACTAAAACACGTATCTGTAATGTGGCACATAACAAATTACCTTCAGCGTCATAATAGTCCAGTGCCAGTCTACCGTTTTTATAATACCAGCGTCCGCGTCCGTTATCATCAAACTCTGCTAGTTTCTCGCCAGTGTCATAAAACATTAATCGCTTATTTTTGTTATGTTCAAACCAGTCGAACTCTGGTTGTGCAGGCCGCATGCGATACACGTTCATCTGAAAATTTTATAAATCTCCTGTTACGCTCCAACTAAAGATAATGTGAACTACCTGAAAGAGTCCACTATCCAACATAGAATAAGTAATTAATACCAAACAAAGTACAGTAATAAGCCCCATGACCCATTACCTTGCGCACCACTTTCTCTGTGGGAAGCATTGTCCAGCCTTTATCTATAAATGACCGATCAGATAAAGCGTAGCGAATAATACCTTTAGGAACCTCTTGCTCAACCTGTAATAAGTAAAAAATGTAAGCTATTGTTACTGCTGCTATAAGCTGTATGCTTCTCATAGCGCATTCTAATCCTTTCTGGAATGTTTCACGACCTCTACATCTACGTTTTCGTCCGTTCAGTCTTTAACTTTTTACACTTACAGCTTCACTTTTTTTGCTCCTAGACATTCCGGTATAGCAAGAAAAGGCAATAAAACAAAATACCGTATTAACAATACAAAAAACTAACAAAATAAATGGCTCCGAAATAAACAATCAAAATCTATTCAATTTTATCGAAATCTTGACATTGTCATGTAAGCCGGACAATAAATTAGAATCTTCAAATTCAAAACAGATGTCAAGTCACAGCTTTTAAAAAAATAAAGTTAAATAAGTATTTACTCTCTGTAAAGAAGTCAATCTTTGAATCAAAAAATTAGAGTGAAGTAATCGGCTACTACAAAATATGTGTCTTGTAAGGTAAGCCTATTTTGGATCAATTTCCAAAAGTAATAGAAATACAATCTTATTTACTTACCCCTTTACTCCCCTTTGTAGGTGCTACAGGCTTCTTTGGGATGGGTACTTCAATTTCATCGGGTACCACTTTAACCGGTTCCGGCTCGGCTTTTTCAGGTACACTCGCAATTTCTTCTTTAACACTTGTTTTAAATAATAAGGGCGCCACTTCTTCTTCCAGATGTTTTTCAGTCAAAGGAGGCTTGTATTTAAATATTTTCTGTCCTATAATAATATCTGCCATTTTGTCGTCATCTTGCCGTTTATTGGCTATGCTCTCGAGGTCTAATTCAATATCAGAGTCTCTACATACTAAGCAATTTTTATCTTTAGCTTTATTATGACCCTTGTGACGATAAAGCAAACGAGTAACATCTAACTCTTTCTTAAGAAGTCTTTGTCTTTCGCCTTGGGTATTCTGTTTTAATTTGACTAACTGTAAAATTAAGTCGTCCCCCGATTTATTTCTGACCTTTATTTGTTTTATATTTAATTCCTTAGTTGTGGGTTTTTCTTGCCTTTTCTCAGGTTTAGCAGGCTCTGGTTCTGATTGTTGTTTCTTTTGGGCTTTTAATTTTGCCGCCGCGGCATTTGCTTTCATTTGGGCGTTTTCTTGTGCTATCTTTTCTGCTGCTTCTTTAGCTCTTCTCTCTTCCTCTTCTTTTTGCTGCTTCCTTTGTTTCTGCAATTCTTCTCTTTCTTTAGCCTGTTCCGCTAATAATTTCCTAAAATCATCAACTGGGGCAGCATCAGCTTTAGGTTTTGCCGGTTCTTTAGGTTCTTTGACTTCTTCCTTAACTTCTGGCTTTTTAGGCTCTTTCTTATTTTTATCTTCCGTTTTATCTTTTTCTTTAATTTCTTTTTCCTTTTTAGGTTCTTTTTCTTTAACTATTGGCTCTGGTTTCTCTTTCTTGGGTTTTTCTACTTCTTCTTTCACTTTGGGTGGTTTTTCTTCTTTCGGTGGTTTTTCTTTTGGTTTCTCAGGCGAAGGTTCTTTTATTGGTTTTGGTTTTTCTTCGTCTTTTTTTTTAGTTTCTATCGGTGTAGTCTTTTTCTCTGGTGGAATTTCTTTAACTTTACTCGCAGTTTCTGAAACTGGTTTCTTTTGTACTGAATCGGGCTTTTCTTTGGGTTTTTCAGGAATTTTCTTGTGTTCTTCTTTACCCGATTTTTTTTGTTCGTCTTTCGCCGACTTCTTATGTTCTTGTTTCGTTGACTTGTCACGTTCTTCTTTAGCACGTTTTTTTGCTTCTTCTTCTGCAAGCTTTTTGGCTTTCTCTTCTTCTAGCCGATTTTTTTCTTCTTCAGCTAACCTAATTTTTTCTTCTTCATCTAATCTCTTTTTTTCTTCTGCAAGTCTTTTCGCTTCCTCTTCAGCCAGTCTCTTTTCTTCTGCTTCGCGCGAGAGTCTTGCTGTTTCAGCTTGGATCCGCTTTTCTTCGCGGGCCTTTCTTCTTCTCTCTTGTTCCTCCTGCTTTTTTCGACGTTCTTCTTCCTGTTTCATTTGCTCTTCTTCAGCTCGAGCTTGCAACATGTCTTGGGTATTTTTTATTAACTCTGAGGAACTAATACGTTTCTTAGGAGGTCGTATATCTTCAGCTTTCTCTTTAAGAAATAAATAACCAAAGCCCTCCTTTACATAGTCATCATCTGCAAAACCCGGTATGGACCGCAGAAGAGCATTATCAGATTTGTATTTTCCAGGCGAAATACCAGTAAGTTCTTTTGAAGACAGGTCAGTTGAAGATTTAAGAACATCTTCGGATTTATATCTTGCAGACTTCCTTTCCAATATTTTATAAGGTTTTTTCAAAGAACTATCTGACATTGATTGGAAAGGGTCATCTAATTTATATTTGCCAGTTGGTGTCATAGAAAGTTTCTTTAAAGACTGATCTGTTATCGATTTTCTGGTAGCAAAGCCTTCGCGAGCAGTTCTTAAGCCTTCGCGAGCAGTTTTAAAGTCTTCACGAGCAGTTTTTAAGCCTTCACGAGCAGTATCAAAGTCTTCACGAAGAGTTTCCAGAAAAGATACGCTCTCATCCGGTATGTACGTGAGGTCCTGATGAGACCTTGAAATATAATAATGTCTTTTTTTATCGGGACCAAAATAGTCTTGTTCTGAAAATTCTGCGAATGTTGCATGTTTTTTTACTTTAGGATAATTCGGATGTGAATGGTACGAGCGATCTGACAGAGTTCTCGTGGATCCTGTTCTTAAAGTTTCTGAATAAAACAGATCACCAACTTCTGGTTCTCGTAAAGATATTGGGGAATTGTGATGTAAATTTTGAATGTCGATGTCCGAATATGTTCGGCCTTTTTTAAAGACTGCAGACTTTTCGGTAATAACTACATCTTTCAACAGGCGATGAATTTTAGAAAGCCACTTTGTAATATGGCTCTTAGCTTTTTTTGTATCATCCCTACCAGTTACGAACTTCTTTACTACTTCATCACATTCCTGGCACGGACTGCGAGTGGCTTTCCTTCGACAGTGGTCACATATTCCCATTATATCATTTCTGTTTATGATAGGTATACTTTTCAATAGTCTTTTGGCATTCTCAATAATATGCCTGCAGCGTGGACAGCTTATTTTGTTTTCATCTGAAATAAAACATTATTTTGGACTGAAGAATCTCAACTAAAATTCGTTTAATTATACGTAGCTAATCTAAAGATGAAAGTGAACGTATACCGAAAGTTGGCATTATATCTGCCGAAAGTATTTCAGCGTCTTTTGTGTTATGAAGTATAAATATGTCTTCAGAAGTGCTTGTTGCAGATTGGGCGATATATTGTCTCGGATTGACCTGGTTTAAGGAAAACAAATATTTGGAATTAATATTGACAACAGCATTATAAACAGTATATCGTATAATACTCATACTCCCTAAGGCCCAGAACAGACGGTGAAACGCAACTGCAACGAAACTGCAACTTTGTGATTCTGATGAATGAAACTGAAACTGAAAGTTTCAAACTGGTCGCGTCGTGTGTGGTCTCTCAACGGACGCTATGGCAGAAACTAAGATGCAACTCAAAAGTAACTAGCAGTTGCAGTTTCGTTGCAGTTGCGTTTCACCGTCTGTTCTGGGCCTAAGACAATCTTGACTGTTTGTCTAACGCTTGAGGCGTTGTTATTCCGGTACGCAAACCACCAAACGTCCGTCGAGTTTTGGGTGTCTGTCATACTTGGTAGGTACTCATAAAAAGCTAAAAAGCCGATCTTTAAAATCATATTCAGTGATACGTAAATTTAAATTAACTCACATGATCTGTTCGAGACGTTCGTCGATAAATGATTAAGCCTGCATCACTCAGGTCCACGACTTTTTGATAATCCATGTGTTCTTCGAAACACGGGCATCGAAAAACATGTTCCCTGTAATGGTTATTACACATTAAATGGTCAGCTTGTGATAGTTAAATATTCAGGAAACACTTTGAAGTAGCTAGGTATACATGACACTGGCATACTTACCCACCTTGTGACCCCATAATTCCTTCTCAAAAAATAATATATCCAGTAAAATAAAATGCTTACATACAAAAACACACATCATACAAAATATTCCGTATGTCAAACTGACATGATACATCATAGCTGACAAAATAGCTGATTTATTTGTTTTTCTATCTGTAGATAGATACTGTAATAGCTTACTTCTAGGTCTGCACACATTTTTTTTGTCTACGACCAACGGCGTGCCCAGTTTCTGGCCCAGAGTGCCCCCTATGATCTAAGGGGGAGCAATTCAGATTGTTAAGATAGGGTCTTCAACTCTTTAGTAATTCCAAGAGACAGCTGCCCTTCCCTGCCTGTTTACACACCTGAACCCATCAATAACGAAAATGACGATGTAGTAGTGGTGACTCTACAACTCCAAATGGGTTAGCTTAGAGTTCACAGATTTGTATCAGATAATTTGCGTAAAAGAATCAATTCGAAAATAATGAAAATACTAAGTGTACTTACAACCCGGTCGAGTTCTCCCTCTCACTCACCCGCACATCTACATGTGCATGTGGATTGAGTGGTCCTTGCTTCAATCTTAACAAAAATCGAGGAAGTTTTACTTAAAATATGTTAAAACATTGCGATGAAGTTTACAAATTTGTTAAACCTAAGATAAAAATGTTATGGCCAATAAATAGGAGCACTCATACCGCACGCTTTAAGAAAACGTCAACATGTTTATTTCAGAAAATAAAGCCTTTCCCCTTCTTTTTATAGTATTGAAAAATTGTTAAGAATATGTTAAAACTATTAACAAATTCANAAATATATTGACAAAATTTTCTTTTGATATAATGATTCGATTTTCTTTTATGTTCAGGTTATTAATCATACCATTTCCATTCAGTCCCGTCAAGCTGCTCAAATGCCTCGTCAATGTGTCGTCCCATAGGCGCCTGTAAAAATTATATTATTACTATCAAAAGAGCTTACTATGGATGGGCCTCATAAGAAGTTCACTCAACGGGCGAAGGAGCGGGCTATGCTCGGAGTTTCCCTGCGTGATCGAATCGGAAATGAGGAGATCCGCAGTAGAACCAAAGTGACCGATATGGCCCGCAGAATTGCTAAAATCAACTGGTAGTAGACGGGGCACATAGCTCGCAGAGAGAAAAAAGTTCTCGAGTGGCGACCACAGTCCGGAAGACGTAGTGTGGCAGGCTTCGAAGAGCTTGTGAAAGTCGCGGGAAGTGCCAGGATGCAGACAGCGTAAGACCAGGCGCTGTGGAAATCCTTAGAGGAGGCCTTTGTCCAGCAGTAGACGTCTTTGGGCTGAACCGAATGAAATTTTCAGAAGGCGCTGGATGCAGACCGCTACCAATCGCGCGACATGGAAATCATTGGTGGAGGCCTATGTTCAGCAGTGGACGTCCTGTGGCTGAAATGATGATGAATGGAAACATTATTGTACCTCTCATCATCCTTACACCCCCTCTGTATCAAGTCAATCTTCCTCTTCAACACATCACTACCCTCCCTCGGTTTCTTTCCTGGCATCAGGTTAGGGTGGCCTGTCTTGGCCACCATGGGAACAGTCCTGAACAGCACCATGAACGCCACCAGCACGGAAATGAGGAAGAGGATCCCGAGGCAGGCTATGCAGGTGTATTCTGAGCTGACGATCTTCTTTAAGCTGGAAGAAAGAGGTTACAAACTTATTACGCCCGTATTCACAAACGATGCTTGCTTAAGTGAAGCAGCAAATCGAACGCACAGCGTTTAATAGAGCTCTGTGATTGGTTCGTGTGTCACCCTGAGATGCGCACTGTGAGACCTCATAGTAATGTTTGAAATACTTACGCACACGAGACGCATGAGCAAGTATCTTCTGAACGCTTATTCTGATTGTCACCCTACAATAAAAACATAATAAATTGTAGTAAAAATAGTAATCAGAATTATTATTTTTATTAATAAAGTATGTCTTACTTACCCAAAACCACCAACTATCCTTTTTGTCTCCTTGAAATGGCTGTAACAAATAAATAAACAATAGTAACTAAAAATAATCAATAAGCTTTCTCAAAGTCCATTATTTGAAAATTCAACTGTCTCTACATTGGGCCAGACGGGTTGAGGAAGCATTCATGTTCACATTCGTACCTTAGTTGCCTTACGACATCCACGGGAAAAGTTCTATTCTACTCTCCTAAAACTACAAGGCCACGGAGCTATATTTGACCGATTTATGGCACACTTACTATTTTCTTCTGACTTATTTTTCGTATGCATCAGAATGGTACATGGGACAAGGGACGTGGGACAGTTACAAGCCATCACGATGTGAAATAACACTCTGAGCCTACGCGCAGACCACCGACTTTTAGTTGGCCGAAAGTTGGGTCGGGCTGTTAATCAGTATGGATATGGAAAGTGCACTTACACCGATTTGTTATCGGTCGATTCTTCATACAAATTAAAATCGGGCTCAACTATCGGCCTACTAAAATACGGTGGTCTGGGTCTAGGCTAAACAAGCTTCGTTTGTGAATACGGGCGTAAAAGTCGGTGATCGCGCCTATGTTAATAATAAAATCCCTTCACGGCAGACAAATACAATTAATGCGACTTATGAAGCATATGTAGTCGCAATCCTCAAGTGAGGGACCGAGGAAGAAGATGAAGCATATGTGACTCACAATGCTCTGGCTCCTCTCGTTGTAGTCCTTCAGCCTCTGCTCGTGCGCCACCTTGTACTGCACGCTGCGCTTGTTCTTCTCCGAACTGCTGGAGTCACAGGATCTCTACCAAAAATAAAATAAAACAACAGTTGCGGCTGTCTGAAGTTCAGGCTGAAGAAGTGTCTTACGGACCGTTCAAATCAGATATTTTAGGAAGGACTTCAATCGCGCATTTGCAAGACCGCACACTAGCTAAGGCATCTTTTCCCAACGCAACAAAATTGTTATACAATTTTCCGTATGCTGTTCTACAAACGGACGACAGACGTCCGGCTCAAAATGGCTTACTATTTGAATTAAAGAGACCTTACAGAAATAAAGAATATTCTCTTTTTTATAAAGAGCATCAGTTTATAAATCACTAATAATTCTCATTGACTCTTCCAGCTAAGCTTTTTTATCCTTCGAGTCAGTGGTAGGTTCACCATATTATGGCTGACATCGAACTAGCGACCCTCGAAGCGGTATTCCGATGCTGCCACTGTCAGGCAACTTGTAAGGGAACATAAATGCAAAACGGAGTATGAAAAACTTACGTTGACTCTGTTTGTTTTGGATCTTGATCCAGAATACTGCCTTCTCTTTCTGTTCTCTTGTTTCTCTTTCAGCAAATTTGCTTTTTCGGGATCGCTGTAGAGAAAAAATCATCAGTTCATTCAGTCTTCACTGCAGGAACACGACCCTCTCTAATTGACCAGAGGCAAGAGGATTTGGTCTACACTCCCCACGCTGGCCAGACGGGTTGGGGAGGCCTTATAATGAATATGTCACTTACTTGTTCTCTCTCTGAATCATTTCCTTGAAGACTTTCAAAACTGGGGACTGGGTTTCTTTGTCCGATTTCTTGCCATGTCTGGAAGAAGAAACTATTTAATTTCATCCTCATTCCAGCAGGATGTCTACTGCTGAACATAGGCCTCCCCCAATGATTCCCACATCGCCCGGTTGGTAGCGGCCTGCATCCAGCGCCTTCCTGCTACCTTTATGTATAATTTATTAAGATCAGCTTTCGCCCACAGCTTCATTCAAGTTTTTCACAGAAAATCATAAAGCTTATTTGTAATGTTTAATTGTTTTGAAATAAGTTTAAAAAATCGTACCTTTTGTTACCAATTTCCATATTTTTCTAGATGACATTTGACAAGTTTTGATCGTTACTCTTTTTTAAAAGCTACTGGTCAAAGAGTTTTTATTATGTGCATGTGGATTGAGTGATCCTTGCTTCAATCGTAACAAAAATCGAGGAAGTTTTACTTAAAATATGTTAAAACATTGCGATGAAGTTTAAAAATTTGTTAAACCTAAGATAAAAATGTTATGGCCAATAAATAGGAGCACTCATACCGCACGCTTTAAGAAAACGTCAACATGTTTATTTCAGAAAATAAAGCCTTTCCACTTCTTTTTATAGTATTGAAAAATTGTTAAGAATATGTTAAAACTATTAACAAATTCAGAAATTCCTTGCACGTCCCGTTCCAAAGTTATGACGATTATTTAGGATCACTCATTCGTACATACCCGCGTTCGTGCTTGAGCGTCGATGTGACGTCACAGCCGCCAAGAGCGCAGTTACCTCGACCGGGTTGTACACAGTCTGATGACAATGTAATGAAATGAAATGGTTTTAATTTAAAAATATAATTAATTATAATAAAATTACGGAATTATTTAAGTAATACTTTTTATTTAGATTGTTTTTGTAATTTGATAATAACAATAAGTTTTATTCAAGATCGAAACAAAAATAAGTTACTTATTTATGTAAAATATGCAGACACACATGTAAAATGTAATGTAGTAAAGAGATGTGAGAACCCTATGGTTGTGTGATTGGTCTAAGACCTATAGGTTTTTAAATTGTGTTATACTTATTGATAATGTTAAATATTCCTTTCCTTCTACATTAGGGTTTACATAAAGGCTTTGGCACCCCCTTCAATGGCAAAATATGCCTCTTCTTATCTATTTAACCACATATCTATTTAAACCTTTGTTTTAATTATGACTAGTAAATGCCAACTCTGTATCTTTCAATTTTCAATCAGTCAGCAACACTGGTAATTATGCTGTCATTATTATTATCACATTACTTCAGCTGCACTTTCCCCCTTAATCTCGTTTTCTTTTAAACAAATTCAGTAGTTTTTGTGTTAATGACACAGGAGTTCCAACTGGTTTCAGTACCAATTCTTTTGTGCATATGTTGTGTAGTGGGCCAAATGCTAAAGCAACTACAGTGCAAGCTAGACAGATTACATTGTATGGCATACTAAAGTCAGGAGTAGGCAAAGATACCATGGCACCGTTGGTCCTGAAGACTGCTGGATACCCTGAAAGAAATGTTAAATCTTTAATGAAAAGAAATAATTGTATTTTACAATATTTGGACATGTTTAATCTAAGTTATACTTACAAGGGCTGGAGGCATTGATCACTGAATCAAAAGTAATTCCCTCTATTGGCAGACTTGTGTAACTTTTGGCTATAGGCAGATTGGCAGAGATAAGGGCTGACCCAATATAAAAGCCATGATTGGCATCAGGTGGGTACTCTTGCCATTTCAAAAAGACAAACTCAAAGTCTATGGTGATAGTTGTTGTTGATCTTGCTGGTAATGACATCATAATTTCAAGATGGTATGGTCTTTGTCTGCTGCGTCCAGGAGAGAAGAACATTGATTTTATTAATTTGCTGTCTGCTTCACCATTTACCCTCAGAGTGCTTGTTTGTATGGGAAGCCACCATGGAGCATTTTCTAGTAAAACTACATCTATAGGAGTCCAGTGATTGTTAGTTATTTCTGTGACAATTCCACCAAATTCTTTTCCATAACCCAATACATATCGGTTGAAGTATATGGGTGGAGGTATAGGCATGTGCAACTTTTCTGTAGGATTTTGCTTAGCTCCAATGTTTACCATTTGACCATCAGCTTTTATATTGTATACTGCAAGGTGTGTGTCACTGCCTCCTCTTTGCGAAAGAACAACTTTATCTGGTGGAGGTGTCAGTGTAAATGATTGAGTGTCATTAGATGACACATCAACATAGATAGTGCTAGCAGAGGACAGAGGACAGGCTCCTGGCAATCCTTGGCCAAATAGTTTTCTGAAAGACCAGTCATTGCTGTTGATAATTTTATAATCATATACAAGGGAAACTGTTTGTTTTATCTCCACAAGTGTCTCCTTGCATTCTTTAGAGGCACATACATTCCTTACATGTACACCGATTGAATGATAGTTTGTATTGTGTATCATCCTTGAATTTAGTAATGCAGAAAATCCTCGACTCGATTCACAAGGCAGAAGTTTTTTCCAAGGTGTTAAATTTTCAGTACAAACTATTTCCCTGGGTAAAGATGCATATCTCAAAAGTAAATTACTTGGCGTAGAGCTCTTTTTTAATAAGCCAGTGGGATATAGTGCATCTTGTGGTGTGATAGTGTTAAAATTGTCTATGAAATTTAAGGATGCACAAAATAACCCAGAGAGGGTCGCACTTAGTTTCCGCCATTGCTCATCTATGTCGGTAACCTCTGGCGAGAACCATGCATATAGTTCAGCTCCAGGAGCCGCGTCTATGACTGGATAACCCCATTGTCTGTGTCTCCATTGGCCTTCTGTTAATGTAAGGTGTAGTTCATCAACTTGGAATCGGGAAATAATTTCACCTAAGGACCTCGGCGATAGATGTGTATGTGAAACTGAAAATAAAAGCAGNCACTTGATTTTAGCAATTCTGCGAGCTATGTCGGTTACTTTGGTTCTCCTGCGGATCTCCTCATTTCTGATTCGATCACGCAGGGAAACTCCGAGCATAGCCCGCTTCATCGCCCTTTGGGTGACCTTGAGCCTTCTTATGAGGCCCATAGTAAGCGACCACGTCTCAGATCCGTATACCATCACTGGCAAGTGGCAACACACATTGGTCAAATACTTTCGACTTGAGACACTGCGGTATTTCGGACGTGAGTATAAATGGCGAAGCTTCCCGAACGCTGCCAAGACTTAGGCTAAATAAATGATATAATGAAGGATGATAGATTATGATAACCCTTTTTCTCACCCTTTGAGTCTCAGTAAAGTTATGTTGCTTTACTGAGACTTCATAAGGACTACTTGAGAGAATCCGAAGAATCACGCTACACTGTTGTTTCATTTGCCCACACGCATGCACGTTCACGAACACTTAATGGTTCAATAATCCACCATTATTACACATTAATAGTCGTCTAAACACGAATTTAGAAAATAAAACAAAACTGCTATCATTTCATGACTATTCACATTCCCGCCAAGAAGTCATTTCGTCCTTTTTTTGCATTGAGAAAATTAACGCTTTGGTCGATGGGGACGACGGACGAGCGACCAGTGGGTTATGTAGCCACAAAGCATTGTATATCATGTTATAGTCTCCTTGATTTGATTTCAAATCCTCTTGCAAGGCGTGCGTACATCACTATGGTTTTGTCATTTGTCAATGTCACCCGTTTCATTCATTCATTCGTGTCAAAAAAAAAATCTTGTCAATTCTGTCTGCGATTTGTTGACGAAGAAAAGTGTATTAGTTTGTTTTGATAATTTTTATTCATACAAAGACTATTATTAAATAAAAAAAATAAGTACTACGTACAATTATTCATATACAGAATACATAATATAACATTAAGAAATAGTGATAGAAAACGATGAAAGTGAAATGAGTTACATTCTGTAAATACCTACTCGTGTGGTTGCGTTTGTTATTTACTTCCTACAAGTGCGTGAATATNAAAAGCAGACAATGAGTAGAGGCTTAAAAAGACAATGAAGTTTAAGATTTAAGTTGAAAGTATGGTTAGAGGGTAAAGCTTACATGAATTTTCTGAATTCACTAGAGTTGTAAACTGGAAGTAGGAATACAGGTGAGATTGAGGCAGTGGTTTGATAAATATTTCTTCTTTGAAATCGTCACCGTAAACAGTGGAAACAACGGTCAAGAAGACCATAAACGTTAAAAACGAACTAATCATTATTATTTCTATCAAGTTTCACTGCTCAATTCATTTAAAAACGTTTAGTTTTAATGAATACTTAATTTTTATTTGTATCAGTAATTTTTATCATTCGGAGCAAATGTCAAATTTGTCAACCTTGTTATTTTCCCGTGCGACTGCGACACAACAACAACGATAATGACGTGTATTTTTTTTATTTCGCCCTTCTTATTTTTTGATGTTGGCAATACATGTCGAGGCCGACTTGATTTGTTCCATTTTCAAGTTTCAAGTAAGACGAGTTACTAAATGGGACCAAGTGGGATTTTGTTGCTTTATTGAGACTTCATATGGACCACTTGAGAGAACCCGAAGAATCACGCTGCACTGATTTGTTTCACACTCATGCACGTTCACGAACACTTAATGCTTAATAATCCACCATTATTACACATTAATAGTCGTCTAAACTTGAATTTGATTTCAAATTATCGCCTCTTGCAAGGCGTGCGTACATCACTGGTTTTGTCATTTGTCAATGTCACCTGTTCATTCATTCGTATTTATTCGTGTCAAAAAAAACTTGTTGTCATTTCTGTCTGCGATTTGTTGACGAAGAAAAGTGTATTTGTTTTCATAATTTTTATTCATATTCATACAAAGACTATTATAAATAAAAAAAGAAGTACTACGTACAATTATTATTATACAGAATACATATACCATTATGAAATAGTGAAAGAAAACGATGAAATTGAAATGAGTTACATTCACAAGTAAATACCTACTCGTGTGGTTACGTTTGCTATTTACTTCCTACAAGTGTGTGAATATAATTAATGTAAAATGGATAACGAATTTATGGACATTTCAACCAGCTTCAGGCTCCAGCTCGGCTATGGAATCGGTCATATACTGAACGATGTTTGTGCTAGTTTGTGGTTCACATACTTTTTGGTATTTTTTCATTTAGTTCTGGAATTTAGTGCTTCCCAAGCTGGGAATTTGATGTTAATTGGGCAAATAGTAGATGCTGTATCCACACCATTTGTAGGTTACCATTCGGATCGCACTGACAATGCTATCAGTGCAAGATATGGCAAAAGAAAATTATGGCATTTATTTGGTAAGTTTCTATAATATTTGTTAATATCTGATTGTGTGGGTTTTGTAAGCTTTGTATTGATTATGTTTTGTATTTTTTACAGGGACTGCATGTGTACTAGCATCATTTCCATTCATATTTTCACAATGTATTGGTTGTTCAATGACTCATAAATGGGCGCAAATGTTTTATTTTGCTGCATTTATTCTAATATTCCAAATCGGCTGGGCAGCTGTTCAAATATCTCACTTAAGTTTGATACCAGAACTAGCTCATGATGACCATACACGGAGTCACCTGACGGCTGTAAGGTATAATTTCATACATTTAAAATTTATTTGCATGTAATTTTAATTGCCTCTTATTTATAAAATATTTCTGATTTTAGGTATGGATTTACTGTGTTTTCCAATTTATTTGTGTACATAATCACCTGGATAGTATTGCACATAACAGGAGAATGTAATAAACAGGTATGTTATATTTATGTTAGATCATAATTACTTTGTATAAATACAAACCGTCAAATTTCCAAATTCCATCAAAAAAGGGTAAAAATTATTTTAAATAAAGCACATAAACTAAAAAAGACCTAGTTGGTATTTAAAATAATAATTTTTATGGCAGATAATGCATTACTCAAAGCCACAGGATATAAGATAGTGCATTATCCAATATAATTGCCTAAATATACTGGATAATGTACAAAAATAGCCTTGTTTTGTCTGTGTTTTGGGCAGAAACATTATCAGTACTTTATTCAAGGTCAAAACAACAGACTTGTTATGTACCATACCTATAGGTAACAACTATGTCCAATTATTATTACGTTAAGTTAATGAATATCATAATAAAAGTATCTATCTAGTTATACACTTATTATTTTTAATAAACATTCTGATAACTATGCAAAGTTTCAATTCCGATTATGTCAAGAATAATGTTACACATTAAATTACTTATTTAAAAAATATTATTTTCGATTCCAGCAAGTTGGACCTGCAGATGCCTGGAAATTCAGACACATTGTGTATGTGGTCATGAGCATTGGAACTCTTGCTTCAATCATTTTTCATTTAAGTGTTAAGGAAAAATATTCCTATAGGAACCAAGATGAATTGATACAGAACAGTGAACGAGGAGCACATTTAGATTTCTTACATAAACCGTTATTATATCAGGTATGTTGACTGTTTACAATTCAGTTGCGCTTTTATGCTTGCACATTATTTTTAGTAGGCTCAATGCTAGCGTAAATCATTATTTTTTTAGGTTGCTGGTGTGTACATGAGCACAAGATTGGTAGTAAACGTCGCACAAGTATTTATACCCCTATATTTACATCGAACATTGGGACTGGCAGCACGAGCGCTGGCTGTGGTGCCTCTGGCGATGTATCTAGGAAGCCTGGCGGCAGCTGGAGCGCAAAGACTGGCCCCTAGGTCATTCACAAGGAAACTAATTTACTTTATAGGTTCCATATGCGCTCTAACTGGATTTGTGTGGATATATTTCGAGTATGACTATGATTACAAAGTGTACTTCATTTATTTAGTAGCTGTGTTAATAGGTTAGTAATTATGATAAGGGTTATCACTGGCAATATCACTACTCTAATTAATTTCTATGGATGTATCACTTTAATGAGTTTTACGTGATTTAATATTGTGATGATGATGTTGCCAAGCTAAAATTTATTTTTAATTATATCTATTGATTACTTGCAGGTTTTGGTGGAGCAATAATGCTGATGACTAGTCTTTCACTGACTGCTGATTTAGTTGGCGCGAGAACCGAGGCGTCGGCCTTCGTTTATGGCCTAATGAGTTTCACGGACAAGCTGGCCTGCGGAATCGCTATCGCTGTAATTCAAATGTAGTAAGTACACAGATAACATATGTATTATAATCATGTCTTTCCTGTATGGCATTGGTTCCCAAATGGTCTAGCAAATGTGCTGATGATGATGATGTTTTTAAAAATACTTTCCTTAACAAAGATAGAATGCTTTCTACTGCTGGACAAAAGCCTACACCACGGATTTCCACAAGGTAGGTGCCTCCTTTAGGTAGGTCATCCGGCGACATTTACTAAATCGCCGGTCCAGTGAATGTGTCGCTGGAAGACCAAGTTGAGGCATGCCTGCACTTATGTTTGCCGATTCGTGGTCGCCACTCGAGAAGTTTTCTGCCTGAACGACCATCAGTTCTACGAGCTGTCTTGAGAGTTGAGACACTGTCTGTAGTAAAGGCAAGATGTCGCGAGGCTGCAAAATGTTGAAAGTTAAAGAGGAACGAATTTCAAAGTGGCGTTCGCGCTAAGTTAAGCACGTCCCCTCCCTCAACCGCGATTACTTAATGTGTCTTATTTAACGCAAATACACAATTTTTATCAATAATAATAAATAAAAAATATTTTAAATATGTTTGATAAAGTTATAAGACTCTTCCCTTCGAGTGACGTCAATCTCCAGCGGCAAACTTAAAGCGAACGGATAGTAAAACCCGTAAAACATTTTCCTGTTTAATGTAGGTAGGTAGATTCGTACTAAGTAGTCCGTCACATTCGCGTGAATATAACCTTAATGGCATTTAAAATCGTAAGCATGATGTCAGTCTTATTCAATTTTCCTTATTTATTGCAATTTAGCATCTGTACCAACATTGCCATTCTGTTGATAAACGGAAATAAAGTTACTAACAGTGCAGTAAGAAGGTTCAGGATAGAATCTTCTACTACTTATAAGAGAACGTATCTACATCTTAAAGGCCGGCAACGCACCTGTAACGCCCCTGGAACTACGGGTGTCTATGGGCAACGGTAATCACACCATCAGGTGATCCGTCTGCTCGTTTGCCTCCTGTCACATAAAAAACAAATAAGAGTTCCTTGTCAGGACTACGGAACCCTAAAAATTTGATTTATGCTTATGAAAAGTTTAATATACTCTAATCCAGGGGTGGCCAACTTGATTAGACATAAGATCTACTGTTTACTAACGAAACCCTGGGCGATTTATCACTTACATACTTCTTGAAATCTTAAATGAAACAGCATAGTTTAATACACAATCATGTAGTATTTTTTGCCTTGCCACGATCGACTGGACTAATATTCGCGATCGACCGGTTGGCCACCCCTGCTCTAAACTGTTTGAACTGCATTTCACGTTGCAAAACTTTCATTACATATCTAACTTTATCAGGAAAACAGAAATGCCACAATTTAGGCGGTCTTATCGCTTAGATTTTATTCTAAGCTATCTTTATACAGGGTGTTAGGTAAATGGGTATATGAGCCGACACTAGCCCATGTTAACATAGGCATATAAATGGTATGGTGAAGTCAGAAATTTGATATCATGATTTTATATTTTTTAATTTTCATACTAAATAAATTTTATAAAATCCTATTTGTATGAAAATTGAAAATAATTAAAATGAAGATATCAATTTTCTGACTTCACCATACCATTTATATGACCATGTTAACATGGCTTAGTGTCGGCTCATATACCCATTTACCTAACACCCTGTATAAGGAACAAAATGCACATGAGCGAAGCCACGAGCTAAATCTAGTACTTAATGTAGTTAAAATATTGTTATTGTTGAATCAAAACAGTAGGTTACATAATACGTTGAGTCACTCAAACACGACCATGCAGCTGTATTGTCTGTATTGAGTCATTTGATATTTATGTAATCAGTAGTTGATCATGATTCATCCTAACATTTGGCAAATTATTTTCCAGCGCCGACGAAGCAGAATCAGCATATTACCAGAACGTGTTATCATGGGTGTGCGGCGGTGCTACGATATTGGGGCTCACATTTACGTTACTCCTCCCCAAATTCACGCCAGAAGTTATGATAATTAATGGTAAATATAAAGTTATATTTTTTTTGGATTCTAATAGTGAAAGAATTTTCAAATCGGTCCAGTGTAGTTTCTCTTCCTCTCATACAAACAATCAAATCTTTCCTCGAAGCCTAGCCGCAGACTACAGACCGATTGTGGGCCGATAGTTGGGTCAGGCTGTTAATTTTTATATTTTTATTTATGAAACAAAGTGCGCACATTACACCGATTTATCGGCCGATTCTTCATACAAATTAGAATCGGGCCCAACTATCGGCCAACTAAGTAAAAGTCGGTACTCTGCAATTAGGCTTATAATATTAGTATAGATAAATTAAAACACATTCACTTATCGAAAGCTACACCGGTACACAAGATAGTGAGATTGATCATTTTAAATTAATTAATTATTTACAAAATGCAATTGATAAACATACCTATTTGTATGGGCAACCGCGGGCTAGTAGGTACCCGCAACCGCACGCAGTTTTGTTGTGACTCAAAACGTAGAATCACCAACTGATTTTTATTTTGTTTTTTTTTTTCAGATTCTGCATCAGTAAACAACTCGGATGAACCGTCAGCTATGCCTGAAAATATATGAGCTGTGAAATCGTATTAGCAAAATTTTACTTAATTTCTTAGATATTTTTATGAACCAATGACCAGTGATATTATTCCATTAGCGTGTATTATTATATTGACGTAAGTGTGCGTAAATGAACTGTAAAAAACTTAATTTATGTAAGTAAGTAATTTATAACGATTTCAAAATAAAACTGATTTTAACAGTATTTTTTATTTTTATTTTACTAGTCATTGTTTACGCGGCAACGGTAACAGTAAGTAAGTACTTACCTACCAAAATAAAAATTAAAAATCGATTATTTTATTAACCCTGAGGGTAGAGGAATTTTTTCTGCTTAGTCCAAAGGTTAACTGTTAGAGATTGCCAATTATGATGAGGTACCTACTAATGATGGTGGAGGATGGTGGCATTAGACTAAATAAGCAGAAGAGTAGGTACTTACGAACATCATCTTATATCTATAAGCGAAATGTCACTGATTGAGTGATTGACTGACTCACTAATTATTATTACGAAATCTCAGAAACTGTTTAACAAGTGCTAGGAGTCTCAAATTTTGCATGGAATGTAGGCGCTCACTAAGAACGGATATTACGAAACTCCACCACTAGGGGGTAAAATAAAATAAATCCCCATTACGTTAAAAATAAAATCTTAATATCTATATATATAAAAGAAAGTCGTGTTAGTTACTTCGCTTATAACTCAAGAACGGCTGAACCGATTTAGCTGAAAATTGTCAGGGAGGTAGTTTAGAGCCAGGAGAAGGACATAGGATACTTTTTATCCCGTTCGAAATAAAAAAAGTCTGCTTATTTATTGACATTAAGGCGGAACAAAGTTCGCCGGGTCAGCTAGTAACATATAAACGGGGATTAATGAACTTTTTAGATCGGGTGCGGGCAGCCGCTAGTAGCTAGTTACTTACATATAGACATTAATAATAGCTTTGCGAGCATGAAATTGTTTGTTTAAAAAGACAGATACTGTTATAGTTTGGCCAATTATTAACTCACTCGTATCGTTATTTATGGCCTATTTTATTTATCGTTGTGATGTTTAAAAAATAGAAACATTCNACAGTTATAAGACTCTTCCCTTCGAGTGATGTCATATCTCCAGCGGCAAACATAGCGAACGGATAGTAAAACTCGTAAAACATTTTCCTGTTTAATGTAGGTAGGTAGATTCGTACTAAGTAGTCCGTCACATTCGCGTGAATATAACCTTAATGGCATTTAAAATCGTAAGCATGATGTCAGTCTTATTCTATTTTCCTTATTTATTGCAATTTAGCATCTGTACCAACATTGCCATTCTGTTGATAAACGGAAATAAAGTTACTAACAGTGCAGTAAGAAGGTTCACGATAGAATCTTCTACTACTTATAAGAGAACGTATCTACATCTTAAAGGCCGGCAACGCACCTGTAACGCCCCTGGAACTACGGGTGTCTATGGGCAACGGTAATCACACCATCAGGTGATCCGTCTGCTCGTTGACCTCCTGTCACATAAAAAACCAATAAAGAGTTCCTTGTAAGGACTACGGAATCCTAAAAATTTAATTTATGCTTGTGAAAAGTTTGTTATACTCTAAACTGTTTGAATTGTATTTCACACCATGCAAAACTTTCATTACATAATATCTTAGATTAATAAAGCCATAATATCTAACTTTATAAGAAAAACAGAAAGGACACAATTTAGGCGGTCTTATCGCTTAGATTTTATTCTAAGCTATCTTTATATGAGGAAAAACATGCACATGAGCGAAGCCACAAGCTAAATCTAGTACTTAATGTAGTTAAACTATTGTTATTGCTGAATCAAAACCGTGGGTTACTTAATACGTTGAGTCACTCAAACACGACCATGCAGCTGTATTGTCTGTATTGAGTCATTTGATATTTATGTAATCAGTAGTCGATCATGATTCATTCTAACATTTGGCAAATTTATTTTCCAGCGCCGACGAAGCAGAATCAACATATTACCAGAACGTGTTATCATGGGTGTGCGGCGGTGCTACGATATTGGGGCTCACATTTACGTTACTCCTCCCCAAATTCACGCCAGAAGTTATGATAATCAATGGTAAATATAAAGTTACATTTTATAGCCTATGTTCAGCAGATTATTTTTGGATTCTAATGGTGAAAGAATTTTCAAATCGGTCCAGTAGTTTCGGAGCCTATCCTTCCAAACTATCAAACAAACAATCAAATCTTTCCTCGAAGCCTAGCCGTAGACTACAGACTTTGTGGGCCGATAGTTGGATCAGGCTGTTAATTTTTTTATTTATGAAACCAAGTGCGCACATTACACCGATTTGGTATCGGCCGATTCTTCATACAAATTAGAATCGGGCCCAACTATCGGCCAACTAAAAAGTCGGTACTCTGCAATTAGGCTTATATTATTAGTATAGATAAATTATAACGATATTCCACTTAAACACATTCACTTATCACATTAAAATAGTGAGATTGATCATTTTAAATTAATTAATTAATTACAAAATATCTATTTGTATGGGCAACCTCGGGCTAGTAGATACCCGCAACCGCACGCAGATTTGTTGTAACTCAAAACCTAGAATCACCAAAAGATTTTTATTTTGCTTTTTTTTTTCAGATTCTGCATCAGTAAACAACTCGGATGAACCGTCAGCTATGCCTGAAAATATATGAGCTGTGAAATCGTATTAGCAAAATTTTACTTAATTTCTTAGGTATTTTTATGAACTAATGACCAGTGATATTATTCCATTAGCGTGTATTATATTGACGTAAGTGTACGTAAATGAACTGTAAAAAAACTTAATTTATGTAAGTAAGTAATTTATAAAGATTTCAAAATAAAACTGATTTTTACAGTATTTTTTATTTTTATTTTACTAGTCATTGTTTACGCGGCAACCGTAACAGTAAGTAAGTACTTACCTACCAAAATAAAAATCATTATTATGAAGGCAGAGGCAGACCCTGAGGCCCTGAGGGCAGAGGAATTTTTTCTGCTAAGTCCAAAGGTTAACTGTTAGTAGGTAGGTACTAGGTACCTACTAATGGTGGTGGAGGTTGGTGGCAGACTAAATAAATAGAAGAGTACTTACGAACATCATCTTCTTATATCTATAAGCGAAAAAGCGAAAGGTCACTGATTGAGTGATTGACTGACTCACTCATTACGAAATCTCAGAAATTACAAGTGCTAGGACTTTCAAATTTTGCATGGGGGTTCCTTTTAGAACGTAGGTGGTCACTAAGAACGGATATTACGAAACTCCACCACTAAGGGGGTAAAATAAAATAATCCCCATTACGTTAAAAATAAAATCTTAATATAACGGGGATTAATGAACTTTTTAGATCGGGCGCAGGCAGCCCCTAGTTACATATAGACATTAATAATAGCTTTGCGAGCACGAAATTGTTTGTTTAAAAAGACAGATATACCTATTATGTACTGTTATAGTTTGGCCAATTATTAACTCACTCGTATCGTTATTTATGGCTTATTTTATTTATCGTTGTTATGTTTAAAAAATATAAACATTCATAAATAGTACATTTATTTATTTAAGAAATAAAAGAGAAGAAAAAGAGTACCTAAAAAAATATTAAGAGGCGTGGGTAGGGTGCGTAAGGTTAAAGTGTCACAGACGACAACAGTGACTCCTTCCACCCTCCCACGGGTGAATCGATCCACAGTAAAATCCCCGCCCTTGGATATAGAGCACTAAAACCAAAGTAATAAAGCTACAATTCTCCTTGGAGACTGAGACTTGAGAGCTAAAGGGCAGTACCAAGGTCAGACTGTGTAACCCAGACAGTTATATTGATTTTATATTAAGTTTGGGGTAGCAACAGATTTTCTTCATGTACCTTGGCTACCCACTAATTGGCTTTAAAATGTAACTCCTATTCTAATTTAATTACTTATTAACTGAAGGGTAGTAAAGATGAAAAATAACATTGTACACATTTCAAAGTATCAAATGCCTTTATTAATATCACAAAAGCTTGCTCTGCATAGCTTATTAAAAGTATCAAATATAAATTAGGTTTAAATTAAATAATAATGAAGCTTGAATATCCAAAGCATTAAAAGCACATTTAATATAATATGTTGCTGCACCAGGATAGACTTGCTGTATCAGTCACATTTTATGTTTAGTCGGATGCAGCCAATGCAATGACGGTGAAGCGCACTTCTTCAGGATCACGAGCCATAAATTCCTTGCAAATTTTAGCAGCACTTTCCAACAGTGTATCTGCAGTAGTAGGACCGTGATTGATTGGAAAAGCTTTACGGCCATCCAATTCATACAAGACTCCATCCTTATGTATGAATGTAATGAAATGATGGTTTACTGGATCTTCTGCACTCGGAGTGTTAGTTTGACCCTCTTGAGCTAACTCCTTGTGAGCGTTAATGATCCCTTCAGACTTCTCAAGCAAAGTGCCGCGGGCAGCGGCATCCAAACTCTTAGCTTCATCTAGAAACTTCTTCATATATCCATCTGCCAGTTCAATTTTATCAGTATTGTTAGCAACACTGTGTACGAGAGCTACTGTGCCACAAGCATTGCTGATATTCTGCTTCATGTAAAATATATCACTAGCTACTTCTTGGCCCTTTGACAGAATTTCATTTTCTTCTTTTTGCTTATATTCTTCATAAGCTTTGGAGACAGGGAAAAGAAGCATCACCGAGAGAACAGGACGCGGCACCCAGGAAAGCATTTCAGGGTCTAATCCCATCACATCAACAACACTCCAACTGCTGGGGACTCCTAATTTCTGGAGAAATTTGTTCATCACTTCTGGATTAGATTCTAGGGGAACTAATGTTTCAGTCGCCATTGTAGAAGTCTAAAATGAGAAAGAAAAATTAGAGGTTACCGGTATAAATTGACATCGAAAACAAGTAAGAGGGTATTTAGATACGTACGATTTAAACTACTGGTAATATAATTGCGATGAAAATACAAATTGATTAGACAAGACAACTGAAAAACGCACCGGTGAAGTGATGAACGGAGAAAATTGTATTGATTTGCAATTTTTTCCTCAAGTCAAAAACGAAATATCATGCCCACTATTTGAACGTTCGTTCCAATATTCAATGACAATTCTCACAGAGATTGTCGATAAAAAGGTACGTGCGCATTGGCTTAGTTTTAACTTTGCTTTGTACCCACAGATATGGATTAGAGTTTGTACCTTACCATTTCGCGCACCGATTATAGAGAGAGAGTATGTTTTTCATAAAGCGCTGTGAATATTATCCGCGTCGCCTGCGCTGAAAGCCGGCGGCGCTCGGGGCCGGCCGGCACCATAACAAACAGAGATTTCTCTCTGATAACAAATCACAATAAAATTTCAAAGCTCATTGTAAATAGCTCAATTAACGAAGACATCACTATAGTACAATTCATTCTATTTTCTATTCATTCAATTGAAAAGTACCTTTCTGTCAATGTCAATCACACACGTCATTCAATTTCATTCATTCATGTGATGCTGAAAAACGGTCTTGTTGTGTGACTGTAAATCGTAAAACTTTACACGATTTTGAGATGGAATTTAAAAGATAACTCAAGAACTTTGAATGAAAAATGGTGTTTTGTAGCCTAATGTCTAGAGACGTATGCAAATATTCCGGTTCGTAGGTTCTAATTTCTATAAAAATGGCTGTGTGTGGTCTTAGAACAGTGTTGTTGATCGTTTGTGTTCTCGAGTTGGTAGGTACATTTTATTAATTATTGGAAAAGATTTGCATAATGCAAGGGTGTGCTATTGCCTAAGTTGATTTTTTGTTTGTTTCAGATTGTTACCATTCAAAGACAAGTGTTTGATTTTTTGGGTTACATGTGGCTGCCCATAATTGCAAATTTTGTTAACATAATCCTGATAATTTTTGGTTCTTTCGGAGCAGTACAATATGTCACGAACTATTTGTTAGCTGTAAGTAGAAATTTTGTTGTAGAAAATAGGAAATTTTATTATGTTAGCTAGCTAGCTATGATCCTGTTTTCAAAACTTGGTCCCATTGACATGATATTTACTGAAATTCTTTGTACCTATGGTTTTATTGGGAAATCATTATTAATTCCTTTTAACATCAATAATACAGACATAACTTTATTTGAGAATGAGAATGTTGCTAATAAGAAATAATAGACCATGACCTCAATAAGCTTTGATTGAAGTATTGATTGTTTTCCTTCAATCATAATTAACTGTTATTATGAATATGCTTAGTTTTGTATCTCTAACAAATTATTTATGTTTTGTTTTGTTAAGAATTAAGTTTAAAGACTGAATATAGGTTGCACTAGATAGGTGTACAACCACTTGTACCTTACAAATGTGTCGCTATATGAAATGAGTACAAATAATATTGGTTTGCACCACCAATGCATACAGGAATAATGTTAGAAAACAATTTTGATTTAGAAAGTAAATTAAATGTACCAAAAGTAAAATTTCATTTATTTTATAAAAATTAAAAGATCCTTTAAAAAACCAAAAGTTTGACTTTTTAAGTTATGAATTTTTAATAATTTATGTAAGTATTCATAACAAACTATCTTTTCACAGTATGCAATATGGAGTTTCATGTGGCTAACCTGGAATGTTTTTTTAATTTGCTATTATCTAAATCTGGGTTCTCTGAACAGGGTAAGTCATTATTTATTTATTTATTTCTTTCTAAGCTTAAGCCTATTATTTTATGTTTCCTTAAGTGTATAACAATAACTAGCTTCCAAGTCAATGAGTCAACTTGTGACTCATCAAAACATAATGCACACTAACTACACCAAGTGAACACCTCATTATTGAATAAAGAAAAAAAGGACTGTAAGATTCATACATAACCTATTACTTCCCAGGTGTTTTTAAAGATTATTTTTATAAGAAAAAATTATGCTAATAATAATACTTTGAAAATAATGGTATTCCTGTAACATTTTGTATTTTGAACAGGAAAGCGGTTTATTATCTTTGGGGACTGATAGTGTCAGTTGGTGGGAATGGAATGGCTGGGGATGTCAGCCAGTATGGGGTGAAGCAGACAAACCTAGCACCTGGAGGCCAACGCGAGTAGACGGCTGTTTTGTTCAGTGGCACGACATTGAACTTGCTCAATCAGCTGTGGCGGCGGCATTCACTGTCATCGCTCTGCCCCTAGCCATACTCGTAGCTGTTCAGTCCTACAAGAAGCGAAAACCTATGTCTGGTAAGAACAGTTCTAATCAGATTAATTATTTTGGTACTCTCTCATTTATTACAACTAAATTCTATGTCATGCATTGTTTTTGCAGATAAAGGAACGCTGTCCCGTCGACCGGTGTATACCATAGAATTGAGCCCCACTGAAACGACAGTAAGTGAAAGTTCTTTGAAGCCAATGACGCCGCGTCGCGTGAAGAGGCGCTCGGGCTCGCGCGGAGCCGGCTCGTCGGTGCGTCGCTCCCGGCGCTCGTACAGAAACAATGGGTACTTAGCTTCCACGGCTTCATTGCCGCGAGAATCTAAACCCTCTCGTCCGACGTCGGCGCACTCCTCATATTCGAATTTCCACGCCGCCCGTCCGGCTTCCTACCACGCCACCGAGAGAGAAGCCATATCGAGGTCGCAGGACGTATACGATCCTCCGCCGCCCACGGAGTCCGTCCCCATCATAACGAACAGGTACGACACGATTCGCCGCATAAACAAGAACGCAGGATACGACGTCGCCGGCCCGTACAACGAGCCCAGCAGGGGATACGATTCGTCCAGAAATTACGAAGCGAACAACGTTTCGCCGTACGAAAATACGAATCGGGGCTACGAAACCGTGCCTAATTATGATGGTAGGGTGGAATCAGTGCCGCCTTGCGAATCTCCGTATGGGGCTGGAGGTTATGGTGTTGTGAGCGGGTACGGAGGCGGCGAGGGCGGCTGGGAGGCGCCGCCGCCGCCCGCGCCGCCATACAGCGCACGCGCCACGCCGCAGGCGCCCGGCCCGCCCGCCTACCAGCCGGCTAATGACGGATACATGTCTTAGTAAAGATACTTAACTCAATGTGCCTTTTCCAGTGATGTTACTTCAATTTGATAGACATAGTTATTTATACAAACACCTTTAGCACCAGTATGCTAAAGGTAATTTTACATGTAGATGTTTTCATTAAGATGTATGTGATATGCATGAGACCATGGAAATGTACATTCCAAATCTAGCAAAAGTTTGAGAATTCTAAACTTATAACGACTTGGTACATTCCTTGCTTTTATATTTTTGTACTAATACCTAGTTAGTTCTGAAAAAATATAGCATTATGTTATACAATTTGTATCTTTTTTTACTTTGTTACTGAGCATTTCTTGCTTGCTCTTTTGTTGTATGTTAATTGGTACTAAAATAACACTTATGAATTTTATATTTAAGTAAGTGTACACCTATATTATCACATTTGTACTAAAGAATTACTAAAGTCATTTTATTGCATACTGTATGAAATACAATACTTTTATATGTAAGTTAATAGCTTTAAATTTTGTATTTTTTTACTCTAAATAGTTTGTAAGTTTCTATATTTTTTTATAAAAAAGATCNTGAAGTCGATTAAAAAGATCATTTGATTATAATTTACGCCAGTTTGCTGGGTGGAGTCTTTGAACAGTTAAGAAATGATGATTTAGTTTTTAGTCTTGAAAAAATGCGTAACGGTTTGACCGTTTACATTAATGTCTTTAGATTTTAAGCTATAAATATCTAAAAATGAATTAATAATGTCAATCAATTTCTTAACTCAGCACAATTACTGAATGATTAAATTTTCTATCGAGTGCCTTATGCAGTACTTAACTGCAATCTATAACTGAAATAATTATTATGATTTTCAGTACTCAATCAATGTGTTTTATAAAAAAACAATATTATTTGTTGTACCACATGGCTAAGTTGATAATGATTAAGTTTTCTTGCCATGTAAAACCTCACTGAGACTATTTTTAAGTATAGTTTAGACTTTAGATAATCTCAATTGTTAACTTTTCCGTCCACGATGGTCACGACTATGGTAATATTAGGACTATGAATCTCACTATGTGTGCGCAGTTTCACTTATTAAATCCACGGACCAACATTGTATTAGCAATTAGAACATGCATAGCTTTACTAGACTCGTATTAAGTTTACGTATGTACAGGTTATATTTGAGTTAAATGTTGTTTATGCCAAATATACACCTATTGACTTATTTTGAATTTTATTTTAACTATATGAACTATATCCTACCTTTTACATCAAATCAGGGAAATATCAGGTGAACTATAAAATTATAAAGTCAATTTTGGTTCGAGCATTGGAATTATATTTATATAATAAATAAATGTAACATGAAATTGGACACTTATAAACAATAATATTAACAATGATAGTAAAAAATATATCACAAATACCTATTGCTTAAAAATACTGACATCACATTCATAACATGACAAAATGCAATCTTATTTAACTGGTTGAAACAACGCAGATTAATTGATCCTCCAAGAGGCAATTTTTCAATCATATAAATTTATTAACATTTTACAACCATACGCCCATATAATGTTTTTTGAAGTCGACAGTTTTCATTTCATAAAAAGCTGCAATCGGCTTTAGACTTAACGCAATAGAATAACAGTTAAAAAAGAGCTGACACAACTGAATGTAAACAACACAACTATCTTATAAATTCATCAGACAACATGCATTAATTTGGTATCTGTGACAATAGATTGTGGAAATGTGCGCACGCGCACATGTATCGCAGGAGGAAGTTACGAGTGCCAATATGTCTGGATAATACATGAGACATCCAGACGGATAACACAGAAATAGTTCTTGCCCGTCACTTAAATCATCGTTAGTTGGCGGCAGAGAGAGCTACTTGTGCCAATGTGTTTGAATCCGAATCGCATATACCTAGTCCGAGCCTTATCGAATTCCACGCGCTTATTATCCGAGGCTTATCGAATTCCGCACGCGTGTAGTCCTCGCAATATTGAATATTTCACGCTTGTAGTCCTCGCCTTACCGAATTGCGCTTCTGGACCGAACTTTATCGAATATTTCACGTTTGTAGTCCTCGCCTTATCGAACGTTTCCTGCGTGTAGTCGCCGCCTAACTAAATGGCGGGCAGCTGCCGCCTCTCCTTGGCCGTGAGCTGTGGGTGCCACACGTCGACGATTAGCACGAGACGCGCGCGCGTGCCGTTGTGCCATACCTCGTGCTCGAAGCTGTCGTCGAACAGCAGAACGCGGCCCACGCTCCATTGCCTGTTGAAGATAATAAGACTAATTATAATACAAAGACTAATAAAAATACAAGGTGGGGTTGGCAAAATCTTGACAACAAACTCTGAACATTTTTATTTATTTTTCTGTTTATAAGATTGTTTATGCACCAGAGCCAAGTACGGTGCTTTTCTCAGAACATTTTTTGAAGAGACATTTTGGGGAGAGACCAATTTCTTTATTACATAAAGTACATATAATAATTATTATAATTTTACCTGATTTCCTTATCCACTCTTAAATAGGTATCTTTGGTATTGCTCAGCCCCAAATGCATCCTGAGCCGGCAGTTGGTAGGGCCGACGTGCGCTCTGACGTGAGTTCCAGGGGCCATTAGGCTAAACTTGACCTGCCCTCTGCGACATCCTGCGGCAGCCGGCTCGCCCTTGATTATAGCACAAGTAACCGGCGCGCGCTTACACCTATCCGGGATCTCTTGACCCCGGACAAACAAATCCAACTGCGACCATTCTCCCTTCTCCTTCAATCCTTCCTTCTCTTGTTCGTACAACGCTTTTGCCGCTTCTCCTTCTTTTAAGATCTCTTTCCATGATTTCTCCAAAGCCTTTGCTAGGCGCAAGTAAGGCGTGTCTTCTACGTTCCACCACGGCGAGCCTTTTAGTCTCGGCACGTTGTATAGAGACCGCTGGGAGGCCGATAGGAAGTGTCCCAGTTTCGCACCGCGTTCGTGCACTTTATGCGCTTCGTCTGGTCGACCTAGCAACAGCAAGGAATCGCCGTAATGGTAGTAGAACCTCGGTTCGTTGGCGGCACCTGTGTCGCCTTCAAGCGCTTTCTGGAAAAGTTCTACGGCCTTTTCGTAATTATTATGTTGCGTCTTCAACACAAAAGCGTAATGCGCTAATGCTATGCGATCGTCGGGCCAGCGTTTTAGCGTTTCTTTTAAAACTTGTTCTGCCAAGTCAGCTCTGCAAGAAATAATAATAATTTTATTTATACACTGTAACGTCTATAAGTTAATCAATTCAGGGTTTGATGATTAACTAAAGTACCTGTTAGCCATGAGAAAAGAGATCGTAAGGTTGTTTCGATACGAAGGGTCATTCGGAAATCGACGTATCAGCAATCTATAAACCGGTTCAGCGCTTAAATAATTTCCTGTAACAAAAGAAAACGTAATTCAATATAAATAGATTCCTGAATACATTTTCAGGAGTTAGCATGAATAATTATTATTCTTGGGATTGCCATGTAGGTACCTTATTTGTGACCATGAAAGTTTAAAACAATATAGGAGTTAGTATGATAGAAGTGCTAAATCGCTGCGCGGTTCAAGAGGTGGAATTGTGTAAAGCAATCGTAATCATTTGACAGTTCATAACGTACGATTATTCAGTCGAACGCTTTGTATAAATAACTGACTTTATCGTACGTTATGAACGTTAAGGTGGTATAAAAANAAAAGAAAACGTACTTCAATTTAAATACCTATACCATTACCGAAATCTTGTTTCATTCTAGAATTAAGTGTATCTAGATACATTTTTACAAATCCTTTTTCATGAGTTTCACACAATAGGAGCGCTAAATCGCTGCGCTGTTGAAAATACTATCAGCTAACTATTACTATACCATTATTAGTTAAAATATTATAAAAATTACCTCTAAACTGTATTCTGTCGAGCGTTCTGCCCGTGACTTCGAGCAGTTTCTTGTCGGAGAGGCGTTCGTTCATCTTCAGCAGGTCGAGGTAGGCCGTTATAGCGCGCGTCAGCAGTCTGTTGTCGCGCTGCGCTTCAGCCGCGGCGTCGAGCGCGCGCGCGAACACGTAACGCGCACGCGCGCTCGCTCGCAACTCCGGCGCCGCCGAACGCTCGCCGGCAGAACTCCACGCGCCCTCGTTAGTACACAACACACTCACGCAAACGCTAACACACGTGCACGTACGGAATCACGCTTGGACCATTCGGGAATGGAATAAGAGCGACTCCACGGATCTCCATCTGGATTTCCTCGTACGGTTCCTATATTATACTAGGGGATGAAATCGTCCGAGACTCGTCGCGGAGGGACCGCGCGGGGTGCGGGCGCGGTCCCTGACACGGCGACGCCGCGGACGAGTTATGTAAAAATGGCACAACGAGCTAAATATGATATGGGTGAGTTAGATGTAAATTAAAACGAATTAGTCCAGCCAGTCCTGGAATGAACAAGCCAAATTATTAGGACGAGAATTATTTTTTTGGCGGACGACGGCACATCAAGTTGAATATAAGTTCTTATGTTGCTGATAAGTTCTACTTTGCAAAAAAAAAAATTTGGCCTGATGTGCTGTTTACTGTACGTAATGTCGGTGTATTCTCAGTTCCAATATTATTTTTGTAATACAAATAACATTCTTAATGTGGTATGGCAAGTCATTCTACGCATGCGAATGCTTAAGCATTACAAAGTTATTTTGCACACAAAACGTATTTATAGCATGCATGTTATTTTCAAACAATGCGCATTCATAAAACAGAATACACCGACATTTTTAATTACCTACCTACCAATTAAAACGGGTATACAATTATCATACATTTTCAGTCTGAGAAGTGGAAATTGAATACTGAATGAAATGAACTACATCTTCATTTGGTAAAAAACAAGGAATCAAAAATTAAGTTTACTTCTCTGTTACTCGACAAAGGTGAAACGACGATTTGCTACATCATTCTTTTTAATTACTTTTTAGCTGATATTGCATTTGATAACAAATGGAGTATGAATGAAAACATATTAACGGTATTTTACCGCTATTAACAAACGTTTAAAACTTACCTGGCGGAGCTCTCGTTCCGCGGAGTCCAGCTGCTGGCGCCAGTAAGCGTCACTGGGCTCGCCCGGCCACGCGTCATCTACGCTGTTGCCTCCATCCTCTAGAAAGATAAACGCATCATGTTACATTATGAAATTCAATAGTTGTGTTATTTCGGTTGCCTATTGTGCCTAGCTTGATCCTAAATGAAGTAAAAAGAGTAAGAAGAAAATAATGATAATTATCATACACTAGCGGCCGCCCGCGACTTCGTACGCGTGGATCCTGTTTTACCTGTGGTTTTACCCCCTTTTCCCGAATTTTCTTTGCTATAAACCTCACGGAGCCCGAGACCTTTCCAACGAATGCAAAACCGTGGAAATCGGTTCGTGCGTTCTGGAGTTATAGCGTCAGGGAGGAAAACCCGACTTATTTTTATATAGTAGATGATGTTTACATATTGAAGTTTTGATCGATATAATGCTTCAATGATTGAGAGTGCAATGTAATTATTTTCTAGCTCATGGATCATCGGTCAGTTAAGTAATTTTGTCTCCACTGCAGGAGTAAGACTGACCCTCTCTAAGACTCCAAGGCAAATGGACTTGCCTACACTACACTATTTAGGAAGGCCTGATGTTCGCATATTTGTCGCTTTTTACGACACCCACGGGTACATGAGGTGGTTCTATTCTACATTGCCGGAACCACACGGTTATCTAATATAGCCACTACAACATCACGATTAATTTAAAAAATATGTACAAATTAGGAAATACAATACCACTCACATGTTAGTCAAGCCAACGGATTATGTTAATAGGTTAATTCGGAGCATGCAGCGTGGCTAGTAAGCAAACGCACACACGGGGCCAGTCGTGTTTACTGTGTTTTTGTCCGGGTCTCTCTGGCTCAGGAAGCCTCCCGTATTTGGCTTCCAGGCGGCTTAAGAGTTCAGCATCATCAACATCAGATATTTCTTCTTCATCATCTTCTTCCTCCATTTCATCTTCCAATTGCTCGTCGCCAATAATTTCCACGTCATCTGGATCGATTTCTTCTTCCGATTCCGGCTCGGGTTTCTTCTCAGCTACTGGCGCGCTTTGTTTGGGGATTTCTTTCTTCGGTACAACGATTTCTTCTTCTTCCTCTTCTTCTAATTCTTCGGCGGGCTCATCCTCGTCGCTGTATAGTTCTTTGTCTTTCGTTGGTTCATCAATTACTTCCTAAAAAATCGTAATGGATGAGATACAATACGTTTTTGTTACAATAACTATGTAAATAAAAATCGCGACTTACTTCGTCTTCTGACTGTTGCTTTTCTTCGTCATCTTCCTCTTCTTCTTCGCTTTCTTCCTTTCTAATTGGAACTGATCTAATAACAGGAGTCATTTTTTCAACTACCTTTTCTATAACCGGCTGCGAAACTTCCTCAATGATTTTTCTCACTGAAATTAAGGAGAATCTTAGCCACTTGTCGTTTTGACAAATATTTCAAAATCAAAAGTACCTATATCATATAAAAATCTGGTATCCGTACCGGGGGCAGAATGTTGTTCTGGCAACAAAGTCATACGGCGGTCTATAACGGGTGTCTCTTCTCTACTAGGTTGTTCCTCGCTTTCTGGTGTATCTGTTGTGTGAGTATAATAAAAAATACGTAAACACCTATTCATAAAACCAGCCATAAAATATTATCTAGAGTTTCACTAATTGAATGTCTCAAAAAAGTTACTGTATTGTATTTTAACGTTATTTTAGCAATTTTTTGAGGGTTATATTCAATTTTGATATGCGTATACGCACCGCGCGGGCGCGTGGCGCGTCGCATGACGGCGTGGGTTGCCACCAACAGCGCTCCGCCCACAGTCAGCTTCAGCCACACTGCAACACACGCGCTTTGCTTAGCACAACCCTAATATTCTACACATGAGTGGGGCTTACGAAAATTAACCCTAATACAATATCTTTGGAACTAATTTTGAATGAAGTAATAGGGTTTTAAGATTACAGTATCAATTTGATGTTGATGACACGCTTAATATTAATTTTGAAATATTATACGTTAGACGGAGCCAATCTTACGTCATCCACGCTTTTCTGATTAATAGAAACCGCCAACTTACTTAAATAAGTACTCCCGCGATCATGAGTATGAACAATTCTAAACGTAAAATCGACCTTCAATCTCACGCTGAATTCAAGAAATTCATTATTTACGGGTTAATCGCGGCAAACAACTTCTGAAGATTTTTGTATGATGCCGATAATTTATGAGTCAGTGTTCATAATATAAGCAGTGTTTGACGACATAGAGCAGGTTTCACAAAAGCAAGTGAAAAAATACTGAAGCGGTTTTAAACAGAGACTACACACCATGGCGTGCAGAAGCTGACGTTCATACTCGTGTCTGTTAGCAACAATAAAATTATTAACGGTTGTACTCGTAATTCAAATAAAAAAAACTTTTCTCTATTGTAGAGGTGTACTTTTGAAATATCGAATAATAATGTAATTAATTCTTACAAGTAGGGTCAGTGTTTAAATACAACTAGACAAGTAAGTTCCTCCCGTAAGTGTTTGTCAAATAAGTTCTAAGAGCCGAAGTTAGCGAAGACACCCTATATAAATAAACCAGAAAACTACAGTACAATCATTATTCAACAGATTGTTTACTTACCCTTTATTATATTATCCATTACGAAGAAAATAAAAAGCAGACTGGGCGAAATAAAAGATATTAACGTATAAAAGAATATTTATTTTTACAGATTACTGATGAGATCATTAGATAAGTAAAGTTATTTTTTAGTATCAGAGCCATACCGTGTGGGTTTTACAGCAAAGAGCAAAGCTAAGTTAGTTTTAGAATGTGCATAATATTATTAGTATTTTTTTCTATTTGCCATAAATTAATGATAAAAAGAAGAATATAATTATTGTAATTTCCCAATAAATAAATAATATGAATAATAATACCGGAATAGATAAAACCCTTTATAGGTATAAATACTGAAATTCAACTCAATTTTAGTGCAGGTTTTTCCATGTTTTCGGGCTAAATGACGCTCAGAAGTCAGAATTAAAATCCAACTCAAGAATATTTTCAAGCCTGTGATTGGCACAAATTATTGAAATTCAACTAATTAATATAGAGCTCTCATCGACTTTAGGCCATTATTTTATGACAGATTTTTTAGATCTTCCGATTTAGATCCAGTTATTAAAGAAACTAGCTTTCTGCCCGCGGCTTCGCCCGCGTGGAATTTTGTCTGTCACAGAAAAACTTTATCGCGCGCGTCCCTGTTTCAAAAACCGGGATAAAAACTATCCTATGTTCTTTCCCGGGACTCAAACTATCTCTATGCCAAATTTCATCAAAATCGGTTGCGAGGTTTAAGCGGGAAAGCGTAACAGACAGACAGACAGACAGACAGAGTTACTTTCGCATTTATAATATTAGTTGGGATTATCCGAATACTTCATTAGAACAGACAACACAATAGTAAGTGGACATGTCATACAAGCACAAACAAAATAATATTTATACAAGCAAGCAGATAAGAATTAAAAGCATGCAGAAAAATTAGATATTAATACTCACTATGGGAGGATTGCGCTTCCTCCTTGCGGAGTTCTTCCTGCCTCTTCTCGTATTCCTCTTCTTCAGCTAGCGTGTCCGGAGGCTGCTCAGAAGATTCTTCTTCTTCCACCTGTAATTGTATGAAACGTGGCTTAGGAATCGAATAAAATAATTAAAGCAAAAATCAAATCAAATAAAATTTTTGGCATTTCACAAAACTTTGACTACAACCCGGTCGAGTTAACTGCGCATCTGGCTGCATTGAAGTCACGTCGACTTTAAAATTATTAAATTATAAAAAATGTCGTCAACATAGCCCACTTTAGTAAAATGGGAATTTTCCACTTCACGTTTTTACTGCTGCTCAGGATCTACAGCTTATCCGCCAGTAAAAAAACCAACCAGTAGAAGCCATGTTTGTCAAAGGTTTGGATCCTTAAGGAAATTATTGGAAGAAAATAAAAGGAGTCATATTTCTCTAAGTTATTGTGTACCTCTACTAATGGTTTGCCAGCCGGAACAGTGATACGTTCGATCGGAGGCTCGTCAGTGTCATCAGCTTCCAGGAATTCCTCATCTTCTTGTTCAACGCTGTTATCTTCATCATCAAGTTGGTCGTTATCAGCGGAATCATCACCTATAAATGCAAATACAAATTTCAAATGATTTTAATAGTCTTTGACTGTGGGAACCATAATGAGTATCGTTTGTACTCTAATTGTTATGTAACACTGTTTTAAACTAAATTTAAGTCTTCTTTTTCTTGTTTTAAAAGTTTTGGTTTTGTTTTAAAAGACTAACCAATCGGACCAAGTCATTGTATTTAAATCTTAGTTGAGGAATCACTGGCTACTAAGATACAGGTTGTAACCTAGTTTAGTAGTCATGGGACCCCCGATTATCATGCCACTTTTTGTAACTTTTGCATAGTAATACATGCATAATGTAACTTTTGGTTCAAATAAACGTTTTTATTATTATTATTATTGTTTTTCTACTATGTTTCGTAGTCACGGTTTCCGCTGGAACCCGGTTTAATGTCGTTCACGGGCCGAAGCCAAGTGAACAGCATTTTTTGAAATTATGGGGTTTGTTCGCTTTGAAGGAACTTACGAACTATCCTGCAGGTGTTCAAAACAGCAGCTTTCTGAAGAAGAGTATATGTGTAATCGCGTAGGTTTAGTGTTCTGAGTGACTGTGCTAATTGTGTGGGTATAACACCTGTGGCTGAGAGGACGATTGGAACTATCGTCACTTTTCTCAATTGCCACATGCGCGTTATTTCATCTTTAAGATCGACATATTTAGATAACTTTTCAGAAATGGTTTTTTGTACATTGTGGGTGTTGGGTACGGCAATATCGATAAGCTGTGCAGTTTTGTTAACTTTATCTACTATTGTGATGTCAGGTCTATTGAAGTGAACAGTTCTGTCAGTTAGGATGGCTCTATCAAAATAAATTTTATGTGTGCGGTTTTCGAGGACAGTTTCCGGTTTATATTTGTAGTACGGCATTACAGGGTCTTTGCTTAATTTGTATTTGTGTACGACGAGTTGGTGGATAATATTAGCGACTTGATCGTGTCTGTGCTTATAATCTGACTGAGTTATGGCTTTACATGATCCTGTTATGTGTTGAATTGTTTCGGGGGCGCTATTACATTTACGGCAAATATCAGTGACTGGTAGTTTCATTATGTATTTCTTATAGTTCCGTGTTTCGATGACTTGATCTTGAATGGCCATAAGAAAACCTTCTGTTTCTGGGAAGAGTTCACCTCGCTTCAACCACTCATTTGNTTACCGCTCTTGCTCGTCGACAATCTGAATTATTTTTATTAATTTGATGTTGGTACTAAAGTGGGCAGGCCTCCTACTAGGTGGACTGACGATCTGGTAAAGGTCGCGGGAAGAGCCTGGATGCGGGGAGCGCAGGACCGTTTATTATGGAAAACCTTGGGGGAGGCCTTTGTCCAGGAGTGGACGTCATTTGGCTGAAACGAACGAACGATTAAAGTTACGTTTAATGAGTGTACAACAACCGAAATATGTAACTAAAGGTGAGTAAATCGCCATCCTGTATTTAAATCCTAAACAAGTAGTTAGTCTCCTGTCCCATATAAAAGTAACCAATCATTGTTAATATGTTACCATCATCTCCTTTGTCGTCGTCATCGTCCTCAGGCAAAGCTGGTAGTTCAACGGAGATTGGTTCTTCATCAGGGACTTCTTTTTCAAGTTGCTCCACTTCCACTTCTTCATCAGACTCGTGTTCATCGTGTTCTTCTTCTTCATCATCATCCTATTGGAGAATATTGTGTTAGTGTTCGTATTGTTTACTATTATTATGAAGAGAAGTAACTAAATTACANCTCATTTGATGCTTTAGTGTCAACGTGGTTCTGGCTAAGATCTTGGTAGTGTCTTCCATGGAGTGATTTTCTTGACCATTCTAGCAGTTTCGTATTTTTGTCTATTTGTGCTTCATTCTTTTGAGTGTTTCTATCCTTTAAATTTAGTGGTGTTAGTTTATCGTCATTGTTTACTATTGTATCGTGTAGGCTAGAGGTTTGAGCTTTTTGATGAAAGAATTTCCTTAAGTTAGTTAATTGCTTCGCGTGTAAGTTTAAAATATCAATAAGGCTTCGCCCTCCGTCTACTCTAGGTAAAGTCATTCGCTGAATGCAGGACCGCGGGTGATGTTTTCTGTGTCTAGTCATGCTTGTGTGGATGGTGCGTTGAAGTGATTTTAGCTCTGTCTTTGACCACTTTATTATACCAAATGAGTAGGTGAGGACGGGTATGGCGTAACTATTAATTGCTTTGATTGTATTTCTTGAGTTTAGTTGTGATGTCAATATTGTGTTTATTCTGTGTTTAAAAGTTTTTGTTAGTAAAGATTTCGTGTATTTGTGCTCTATTAGTTTTGATTGGTTGTATCCTAAATATTTGTACGTCTCATTTTCTTCCAAGGATGTTATCGTTTCGCCCGATGTCATTTGATAATGGTGTTGATGGGGTTTTCCTAATTTAATTGAATTGATTTTACATTTATCTATACCAAATTCCATTCTTATATCCTGTGAAAATTTTTCTACAACAGTTGCTAATTCCTCTAGATCATGTAAACTATCTGCGTAAAGTTTGATGTCGTCCATATATAATAAGTGATTTAATTTCTCCTCAAAATGGTTAGTCTCTCTCTCTGTTACATTATGAGCAAAGCTGTATCCTAAATTCTTCGAGTTTAAAATATTAGATAACGGGTTTAAGGCTAAGCAAAACCACAGCGGGCTAAACGCGTCACCTTGGAAGATACCTCTCTGAATATTTATTTCATTTGTGTATTGTAGGACTCCTTTATCTGATTTGAATTTTAAGCGTGTGGACCATTTTTGTACTATGTTTTGCAGGAAAGATCTAATTACCGGATGTATTTTGTATACTTCTAATACTTTCAGTAACCAGCTATGCGGCACGGAGTCGTTGGCTTTCTTGTAATCAATGTACATGCTAAAAAGGTTACTTTTCAGCTTTTGGACTTGTTTAAGTATCACGGAGTCGATGGTTAGTTGTTCTTTGCATCCTCTACTAGCTTTCCTACAGCCTTTTTGTTCTTCTGCTAGAATATTGTTTTCATTGATATGTTTGTATACGATTTCTGTTAAACACGATGTTATGATTTTATATTTAGTCTGTAAGCACGTTATTGGTCTGTACTTCGCCGGGTTAATGGTGTCTGAAGAGTCTTTGGGTATCATAAAAGTTATTCCTTTTGTTGTATAATGCGGTATAGTGTCAGGATCTTTGATGAAGTCATTTATATAATTAAGCAGATATGTATGTATATGTGTAAACTTTTTAAGCCAGTAATTATGTATGTTGTCTGAACCTGGGGTTTTCCAATTGTGTTGTTTATTTATTACGGTTTGAAACGTGTCCCAAGTAATCACTTCAGATTCCATTTCTCGTGCATTTCTGAATTTCTCTTCTTCTGTTTGAATCCACGTAGCTTCACTATTATGTTCTACCGGGTTCTCCCATAGTTGAGACCAGAAATTTTGCATATTTTCAGGTAACGGTGTAGCGACAGGAACAGATGGTCGGACTTCATTACGGTTTGTTGTCGTTAGGTTACGATAAAACTGCTTCTCATTGTTGGTGAACTGGTTATTTTGTGATTTCCGAAGTGTGCATGCTATATATCTTTTTAACCTACTGCTGTAAACGGAAAGTTTTTGTTTTAGTGTATCGAGAAAATGTGTTAGTTGTGTGTTAGCTTCCTCGTGAACTGTGTGTACTTGGTGATGTGACAAAATTTCATTAACATGTGCTACGAGTTTTCTACCTCGATTTCCTTGAATATATTGGGTTAATCTACCTATTTTTTTCCTTAACTCTTGGATTATTATTATTATTATTAAAATCATTACATTCGGCCATCCGACACCGTGATGCCTCCCGGCATTCACGTCTAATAAGGATTTATTCTAAAATCATTAATATTACTTTTCAAAACAATGTGGAGCATATAATTATATGATCAAACGAACTTACCAAGTGAAGTTCGATCTGAATTATCCTGTTTTCGCCGAAGAGATTTATTTTACCGTGTAGTACCCATGTACGACAAGCCAATCCGCACACAATATTCAGCGTAGTAGTAGTAAAAAACAAAAGAGCGGGCAACCCCACCCCTACCACGCTGTGGGCTCGGTGTGGGTATTTCTTCGGAGGCAAAATTTTCGATGTCTTTGGGTATAGTTCTGTAACCAACTAACAAAATGGCATGCAATATTTTTTTTCGTATNAAATTACATTTCAAAGAATATTATTGTCAAATAGATAGCATGTATTGTCACATTAATACGTTTGATTTAAAGACACTGAAGATTATTAATATAATATTGGCAACAGTATTGCCATATCAAATAAACTAATAGACACAATTAATCCAAGTTCAAAACAAAAAGCATTTTTCTATAAAATTTTTCTACTGTAAAGTTTTTAGAAATCAATGCCAATCACAACGCAATAAAACAAGTAGTAATATTCTTGCAGTACAATATACTATTAGATAATTAATCAATAGTATTAATTAATTAGATAAAATAAGCTTTAGATTTGTTAGTGCCAATCAAATACAAAATCTGTAGTTTTATAAGCGTCACGCCATGTCATTTTTGAGCACCTCATTATTATCTTCTTTGTTATCATCATAATTTTCTGCACTTTGGTTTGTGTCTTCATTTTCATCATTGTCTTGTTCATCATTATAATCTATTTCATTCGGTTCTGTATTTTCATCATCATCATCTACTTGTTGTAGGTCGTCATTGTTATCATCACCTTCATCAGCTTGATATTGATTGTCGTCATCTTCAAACGAATCTTGGTGTAGTTCATCTTCATCCTGCTTAATGTGTAAGTTAAGTAAAATTTATAAAACAAAAGAAAAAATGTTTAAGCCATTTAAAAACGAATACCACCTCATTATCCTCGTCATTTTCATGATCATCATTTTCATCAGCATCACCATCTTCGTCATTGTCACTTTGTTGATCTAGTTCATCATCGTCTTGTAAAAGGTGCTCATCATTATAATTTGATTCATCGTCATCTTCATCACCATGATCTTCTTCATCTTCATCACCTTGTTCATCGTCATCATCATCACCATGATCGTCTTCGTCTTCATCGGCATGTTCATCGTCGTCTTCATCACCATTTTCATCGTCGTCGTCATCATCTTCATCACCATGTTCATCATCATCGTCATCAGCATGTTCATCATCGTGATCATCATCTTCATCCGCGTGATCTTCTTCACTGACATGATTGACGTCTTCATCATGGCCATCATCATCATCATCCTATTTTTATTACAATTGACATGTACTTTTTACATCTTCATAATTTGTATCATATTTACTGACATAGGTACATAATGTATACTCAATAGAAAAAATGGATAGCAAAATAAACAAGAAATCTTTTACCTACATACTCTTTTTTGATACTACTCCAATCAACTCATAACTAAATTCTTATTAGACAAATAAATAAATCAATAAACTCCTATCAAAATCAGTTCATTTGGTCTCCACTGCAGGAGAGCAACCCTCTTTTTAATTTCCCAGAGGCAAATGGATGGATTTTGCTTCCAAGCTAAATTAAATTAATTATTGAAACTGCCAAGTCTGATTTTCCATAAATATTAAAATGGACCAATATACTACTTACATGGTGATTTAGTTCTAAAGTGTGTTCATCATGGTGATCATCCTCAGGAGCATCCTCAAGCCAACCCTCTAAGACACCAGAGTACCGGGATTCCACAGAATTCGCTTCCACTGAAAATTCCAGACATTTAGTTCCTTTGTCACAAGGCTGCTTGACGATTTGCTTTCAATAAAATTGTTTAAAAGATATGAAAGCAATAGTATACTCACATTCCGATAGGCCTCTGTTTTCCAATATGATCAATCCAATAAGTGTGACAAGTATGGCTAGCAAAGAGAAGAATATTATTTTAGCGCACCAGTGTCCACCCGTGCCATGGTCGTGATATGAATGCATAAAGACATCTCCTTCGCCGAGCGCCGCCGCCGTTCCACGAGGCTCCTCTAAGCTTAACTCATCTGAAATAAATGAGCCAGATTTATTTCTGCCCAACTTTGATCAAATTATTTTTTTCAAGAAACTGTGGGTATGTTTACCTTTTTTTCTTTTCTTATCTTTGCGCTTCCTTGGCTGTACGTCGCCTGACATTATTCGGCTTGAACTGGCGCTCCAAGCGACAGAGATCCACTTATTGTTTCATAACCCTGTGTAAACAATGAGTTACAATACAATGAACTTGCAAATAGTACGACACGAGACGAACAAGGATCCAAATGCGCAATTTTCATGAATAAAGGACACTGGCACGTTGTAATTTTAAAATAACCTACGTTGGGAAGTCTGTACCGACCGACACAGCTTTTCTTGAATTTATTTTAGATTTTAACCTAAAAATAACCGCCAAAGACAGCTGAGAAGGTAGGTATATAATAGTGATGTGACTTCAGCGACTTACGATTTGTCTTGATCAATTGAATGCTACATTCATATCACATTACATTCAATAAATTGATCATTGATTGAAGTCTATTGACAGATTTACTTCTAACACCCGTTTTCATTATTCAATCCCAATCCGTCCGGCAATCGTGTAAGAGACAATATGAAAATGTAAAAATATCGAAAACTGAAGACATTTTGACCAAAAAGGGATTGAAATGGATTTTGGATTGGGATTAAGTTATGGAAAGCGGATAGATTAAAGCCAGATTAAATAAATAAGTAATTGTCGTAGATGATTAATATTATCTGATTACCTAGCATTTATTAGGCCAGATGAGAGGTTGTTACTTTCTATTGAACATTCAAACATATTTTGTACACCACTATTGACAGCTGACATTAGCAGTAGGACTTGTCATAGTTGTCATCTGTCAGACAGATTGTTGCTGGGCTGCTGCTGGCTATTTGTTTACTATTGGATTTGTTTAGATTTTTTAAGGTTTTTTGATACATCTAAATCATGAGTGAAGTTTTTGTTTTATATGATGGATTCTCTACAATGTGCGCGAAAGATGAAATGGTTGCTAATTGCAGTTGCACCTTAGTAATAGGAGGACACAATCTTATTGTGGATACCATGACTGCTTGGGATTCTGAAAAAATACTGAGAGGTTTCATGTCTTAACTACTTAGTTAGATAATAACACAAAATAAGTAACCTATTTAACATCTTATAGTTGCGAATATTATTATTTTCAGCTTTGCAAAACTATGGCATTGCCCCTAATGCAATAAGTTATGTTGTTTCAACACATGGACATTCTGACCACATTGGAAATAATAATCTCTTTCTACACGCCAAGCACATTGTTGGTTTTAGTGTCTCCTATCAAGACAAATACTATATGCATCCATTTGATAAAGGTGAGAGGAACCGAATTATGAGCAATCAAATGAAATGACATCATTACTATCTGTTGTTTTGTTTTAGGCGAGAAGTTCATCGTCAATGATAGTGTGGAAATAATCCCTACTCCAGGACACACATTATCAGATGTAACAGTGCTCGTTAAAACTAAGCATGCAGAGTCTATCGCCATTACTGGTATGAATAAATTTAACTATACTAGATTACGACTATAATGTCAAAATGGAATGTCAGTTTATCAATCTTACATTTTAGGTGATTTGTTTGAAAAGATGGAGGATATAGGAAACCCTAACATTTGGCTGGAAGCTGGAAGTGAAGATCCAGTGCAGCAGATGAAGAATAGAGCCAAAATAGCTGACATTGCAGACTGGATTGTTCCAGGACATGGTCCAAAGTTCAAAGTGACTGAACAAATAAGAAAATCTTTAAGGGAACAATCTGGGGACACATGTTCAATGAAAAAAGGTAATTAATTTTCTTATTAGATAAAAAATTAAACACTCATTTAGATCAAATTTTATTACATCAACAAAGACATACGCAAAAGAAGCTTACATCAACAAATTATGTGGTTTAATTCTATAATTTCAATTAAGCACACACAAATAACCCTGTGAAATCTGTTTCCAATCAATAGCTATGAGAGAAATTAACATTGTTTGTACAGCTAATCAGAAAGACAACACTAATGTGCCTGATATTAATTATGATAATGTAAACATTGTCAAGATCTAAATTATAACTAAGTGAAATTATGTCATAATTACTACTTAGAGTAAAATTAAAATTGTATTATTCAAGTCACCTATTTACCTATTTTTCAATAAATATTCTAAGGATGAACGTGTAACATAAGGCTTTTTTGATAAAATGTAGATTCCTAGGTAACCCAATCAGCTTGATAATAACAAAATACAAGTAATACTAACCTACATTCAAAGTGTTGTAATACAGGAATACAATTCTCATGCAATCAAATTTTTCCGTATACGAACTCTTTTTACGGTCTGTTGCGATGTTTGTCAAAACGTGCTGTAACTTCCGTATAATTAATACACAGTATCACAAAACAAAGTTTTAAATTTAACAAAGGTTCAATTTTAAATATTTCATTACGTGTACAAGTCTTTTTAGTGCCAATGTCATCGTTGAAAAAAATATAACAAACAATTTAGTTTTCTTCATACGAGTTTTATTGGAGGCATATATTATAACAAATTAATTATCCTTGCAAAATACAAAATTTCTTGGTTTTATTTCACAGTTCATAGGATTATGACTTGGAGTACTTTGACAGGCAAATTCGTATACGAATTTTAACATCGACTGGTACATAGCACTCGTAGCGTTCGAGTGGTTTTCGATCGAACTTTTTCGATTGTGAACTTCTGAGAATGCACAAACGGTGTAAATAGTCGAAAAAACCTAATAAAACCCTCTGAACGATCTTCGAATTATTTTTCGAATGTGAACTTTTTTCGATTGCATGAGAATCGTACCCCAGATCAGATATAAAGGTTTTCAAATACTTCAAATGACCATAAAATAATATAAAGCCCATTTAATGGGTTAATAATTTAAAAAAGCCAAATATTTTAAAGACACTGTCAAAAGCGGAATAGCAAAATACATCAAAGTATATTAAAGATAGATGATACAATTTACATCTTCTAAAGTAGACTAGAAAGATCGACATAATCTGCCATGAATTACGATAGTAGAGCACATACAAAGTATTTAATAAAGGATTATTTGTTGGTCTTTTCAACATGTCACAAAAATCACATTACATTTACTATAATATCACATTCAGGTAGTAAATACTTGGAGCTCATCTAAAAATGATAAAATGTACATAAAGAGTGCACCAGCACTACATTAAAATATTTTATTTGAATGATATTAAAAAAAAAACAATACATAATTATATTTAATGTGGCACTCTGTTATTACATTTTGTTAACTGGCAGGTACGATTATATATTACTGCCGGTGATACCCTCTACCGATATCCGTGTGTCGACGAGTCCAGGCCAAATTTGCTGCGTGCAATAATCAAGAAATATTGTCCTCCATTAATTTAAACAATTCTCTAACTACCTACTACGTGAACCATTTTATATCACAGCCGTAATTCAAAAATATACTATAAAGCTTTTAAACATGCCCATATCCGTTCCGAACATTAATCGACAGCTGCAACCAAAAATAAATTCAAATGTAATAATTATCAAATTAAATGTATAAAAAATATAAATACATAGTTATGATATTAAGTGTAAATAATAACTGAAAGATATTTGAGTTTTTATGTTTTAAAATGAAATAAAAACAAAATAATTAAGCCATTCCATATAATGGTTGTTGTTTTTTTTTATAAAAATTGATATAATTATGTATTTGCATAATAATAATAGAAAATGTAAGACTTATTAATAAAAGGAAATTTGAAAGCTATTTACCTGTGGATCAATGCTTGTAGGTACAGGTTGTGTTTCATCAATGCAGAGATCAGAATCAGAATCAGTTCTTCTAAGGGTATTATCCTGGAAAAAAATGTTAAGTTTATTAAAATCAGTGAAAGTTTTTTATTTAGTACTTAGGGCTTAAGTAGGCGCCAGGGCGCTTATACACGTCGCAATGCTTACTATAAAAAAGCGTATAAAATGTAGGTACTGTTATGGACTTTCTCCTTTTTAGACGTTGACGTCGAAACGTTAATTCAAAGGCGATAAGAACATTTGACACTGACGTCGTACGCCGCGTATAGCGTTTAATAGGAGACCGTAGCCTTACGATCTTGGAAGTAGCTAGTTTAGGACGAAACAATAATAATACTTACCCCTTGTGTATATTGGTGGGTGGTCGTCAGCACTCGAGCTACGGGTCTCATGAAACCCGGCAGAGTTTCAGTGAGAGGGGGCCGAGCGTGGGTAAGCAGGGGTTTGAGCAGACGCGAGTCCACGGCGCCCCAAAGCCTGGCGAGGCGGGCTTTCTCACCCACAGTGCCGTCGCCTGATCCTCTACCGCCCTCCTGGTGTTCAATGAATATAAAATTACCATAACATTATTACAATGTATTCTTAAAATATTTTTATAAACAAAGTCACACGTATAGATGACCCACGCTGAACTGTCCCACCAAACTCAATGACAGGGGGGCGCTACCATCGTTCAACTATATGGTTTCCAACATGGCAAAAATCGGAACCAGCGATTCGATATTGACGGTGGCGCCCCACTGTCAATGTCATCGATAGGACAGTTCAGTATTTTGGAACTATAATAAGGTTTGGGGGATCAAATATTGTATCCATAGACAATTTGGAAACCATTTTAGTAAAAATCTTCGATAAACCTGAAATATACCCTCATGCAAGGCCATGTTTTTACATGAGCGTATAAATAGGACATGTATGCAGTCATTAGTTTGACATTAAAGCACTTAATTAACTAGGGAGAGAAAGACAATGAGTTAAAATAGCATGTAACACAGAATCAATGTAAACTTTCTTTTGTTTCAGGGTAGTTTAAGCATAAACTACACTACCTTCAGCAGGGGGAGCAAGGGTACAAGGAGTATCATGAAATATTTTTGCTAAGGTAGTTTGAAAGACTGTTTCAAAATAGTGAGTGTGATTAGTGACATATAATATTTAATAATCATGTATTAATATAATCTGTATATTGAACTGACCCATTTGTTTCAGTTATAACCCTTCTATTAAACTATTAACTATAGATTTTGAAATATTGCTAATATAATAGTACCTTAGGTACTAGGAAGAAATTAGAAGTTAACACATAAGAATAATAATATACATAATTATGGTCTGAAATGTAGATAATTTACCATAAAAGGGGAACAAGTTACAACAGAACTAACATAGCGCATAAATACATAAAAATAATATCACGTTAGTTGATGGATCATTTCAGTGGGTGCTCATTAGGTATTATTTACATGCCAATCATGCTCAAACATCACACAATATAAAATATAAAAAATGTACATACGTCATACGAGTTAAGTTGCCAAGGCATAACCACTCCCTTCGCGCCATTGCCCCACTTAACTACCATGCTGCCAGTCTAAATTGTGAGAAGAAACCAAACAAACTAAAATAAAATGTCATGCAATTGAGTTCTAAAAGCTGAAGTTGGAAAAGAAATTGTGTGTCAACAAGTGGGACGGCATAAATTGACTTATTTGTACTTTGAATGGGGATGCTTGCATAGAAAAATGTGTTCTTCAATGTGCGTTGTTGATATGCACTTCTTATCTATTATATTTTAACGTGTGCGTACATCTATAAAATAAGAACATCACATTTCTTAAAATTCTCAAGAATAAATATTATTATGTTCAGTTGCAAACATACTTTATTTCGACGTCAAAAAGTATTAACGATCCTAATATGACACACAATTAAAATGTTATTTTCCAGTTAATTAGGTATGTTACATGCAGAGAAAAAAATATGTGAATAAAGTTAGATAGAAAGTATTCTGGAAATGTTAGATTCTAGTAAATAGTCGCTTAATAACTTGCTTTGTTAATTAAAAATTCATCAATCATACTGCAAATTACATTTGGTAGTATTTTATCAATTTATTAAAACACTAGTTTTGTATTGAAAATTACACGTTATTATCTTGACTTGTTATTTCTCATGCAAAATGTATTGTTTTTCAAAAGCGTGCATGTCTTACTGTAGTTCTGTCGCAAGTGGACTGTTGCGTTGGGTCCATATTTCGAAGGCCGAAACCCATGTCGGTGGACTGGATAACAAACATACGCGGTTTATGCATGTTTTGCAATATTTCAAAGTCATGGCTACGCAACGCCGAGCCGTACATTTCAATAGGAGACGTTAGTCGACCGTTTTTAAACAAACAAAAAATAATGACAATGAATTAGTCGCTTGGATGGTTACACCACCAAAATCATGTGACAAGTCAGGTTCAACACTGTTTAGGTAAATTAGAATCGATATAAAAACATAAGTTAATAAATATGCCATTGAGACCAGACTTGTGCCATTAGATATAAGGCTTGACAGAAAACGAGTTAAACAAAAAGTTTTGTGCCTTTTTCCTGTGATGCGGATTTTGTCACGCGTGCGGATCTAGTTCGCATGAGCCACTGCCCGCATTTTATTATTTCAGATATGTTATTCCTATTACGTGGGCACGCTCGCGGACGCAATCAAATAAACACGCGTGTCGAATTCCGCATTACAGGAAAAGGGCACTTAAACAGTTGCAAACATTGGGTCGCAAACTTATGTTGTATGACAATGAGTAGACAAGATGTCACGTGATTTTCGTCCGTAGATTAACATAAAATGTCATGAACGTTAACTGCCAAGCCTTGCGGGTAAGCGGCATGTGACACCTATAAAGCTGCATTAGTGGGTGCTTCTTGGCAACACTAGTACGTACCGGTCCGCCGGAGTCCGTAGCCTGGTAGAGCTGCCAGAATAATATGTTATTAATGACATGCGCGGCACTGCCCTAGCGTGCTTTGTGTCGTGTCAATGGGTACAAACAACCGCACATCAAGCCAAACTCTGGCATCTTATGCAGTCGCAATAAGTGCTATATTGCATCAAAGTTATCAGATGTGCTGTCGACTGTACGGGTACGAATGGCAATACATGTGAGCGACTCCCAATTTTGTACAGTGCCAATACAAATTACCTACTTACTGTCTTTTGGTTTAGTGGAGCGGTATAACAAATATAAATAAGCATTTAGTTACTGATGGGGACGGTACATATGAACAATCTGAATGGCAAGGACAATGTGACAATTACATAAATAATTTTGTAACCATTACCGTGATGTTAAAACGAAAACCTACCCATTTCAGTAAATTTAATATACATAATTGAGGACATAACATAACTAATACATCTTCAAAATGAACTTAAAGTTGAATGGCGACAAGATTCATCATTTCAAAACTTAAAAATGCTAAAATCTCTACTCTACATAATCTCAAGTCGTTTAGTTGTAACACTGTTTTGAAATAAACTGAAGATGAGCCATTTGGCAACGATATGCAAATTATGTTTTAACTAAAAAACTATACTAGGTTAATTACTGTGAAAGGCGAATTATGTAAATGAATGGGATATAAAAAGTAGGAAGCGCAAAATATTTAACAAGCAAAAAAAAATCAAGGGAAGATAGCGTAATTTTTCTATTGCAAAATTTAATATTTTTTTAAAAGTAGAGAAAATCTATTAACTGCTTGTTATGAAAAGTCCATAGCACGTCTAAAAATTGTGTCTGTGCGTAAAGCTTGTCAAACGTTACCGCTAAAAAGGGGGCACTTTAGTTAGTCACAATATTGTTAATCAAAGAATACTTACACTTCTAACATCGCGGTAGGGAAGAGCTTCGTTTTCATCATTTTGGTTTTCCCTAGAAGACAAAAATATATCATTGGTAAATTAATTAACATAGTAGCCCTTCAAGTACCAGCGAATCAAGTCACAATAGAAATCAATATTGCTATCGCGGTCTCATACGACTGCTTAGGGTTCCACGAGATAATAAATTAAGGGTAATAAAATAGCTAACAAAAAAACTTGTTTTTTTTTAGTAGCCCTTAGTCTTTGTGTTATATCAATAGAACAACGTGTTCTGAACACGTACTAACTATTAATCTGTGATAATTGCGTTCTAATGTGCTGTACCGCACACCTGAGTCTTTATGAGTGATGTCACGTCTACGAATTTTCATTCTATGATAAAACGTAGTTTTACTGCTCATAAAATCCGCGGAATAAGTATTTGCAGAAGTCAACTTTAGCACATTAGGTGCTTTCCTATCACTAACCCTCGACGCATGCAATAAGGTCACTTTTCGGACGCTTTGACGCTCTGAGGTGATGTGCCTATGGTCTTTTTTGTGACATTTTTTTTATCCACAACGAGGAAGCTCTTAGCCTGTATCTCACCTGATGGTAAGTGATGATCAGGCCGAAGGTGGAGCTTCACCCGGAATCCTCAACCACGGAGGAACTGGCTCACTGAATATTCTCATGATCAGGCCGCAAAATAATGACCCTCTCTAATCTACCAGGGCGCATGAAATATTTGGTCTTCTATACGCTCCACGTTAGCTAGACGGATTCGAGACATAAAATTAGTATAAATAAGGCATATTTTGGTACGTACCCGGTAGGTATACGTAGGTAAGCCAGTGCATGCGTCGCGGCCCCGCCTTGAAGAACCACGGTNCTAGGTTTTATTAATCTAAGGATAGAATGGAGTTTTGCTGCTTTTAAAATCCGCGGAACAAGAACTTGCAGAAGTCAACTTAGCGCCAATGTGCTTTCCCATCACTAACCCTCGGCGCATGCAATAAGGTCACTTTTTGGACACTTTGACGCTCTGACGTCATGTGTAGTTAACTGCTGCGGATTGTGGATACTCCATTGAGGTCTTTTTTGAGTCATTCTCATCATCAGGTCTTTTAGTCTCTACTGCAGAAGCACGACCCTTTCTAATTTACCATAGGCAAGTGAAGTATTGGATCTACGACACTTCCTACGCAAGGCCAGACGGATTCGAGTCATAAAATTAGTATAAATAAGGCATATTTTGGTACGTACCCGGTGGGTATACGTAGGTAAGCCAGTGCATGCGTCGCGGCCCCGCCCTGTAGCACCACGGTGGCGATAACGATCAGCGAAGTGGTGGTCAGCATAGCTTGCCGCGCTTCGGACACCGTGTTGCGGATGGCTAGCGCGAAAGACATAGCGCCTCGGAGACCTGCATCGAATTGAAATGAGGGTTTATTTAGGCTTTAAACCTTATTTCTTCTGGAAAAAGTCCAAAATATGGTGACAAGAATTCTACCACCACCAGCTAAAGCGCTAAAGGACTTTGCCACTACATCGTGTTATAAGTAACACGAATGAGTCATGCACAAATATGGCCTGATAAAAAATATTAGTATAATATTAATTAATGTCCTCTTCATCATCTCAGCCATAGGACGTCTGCTGAACATNTTGAACATAGGCCTACCCCAATGCTTTCCATGTTGCCCGGTATGTATGATGTAATGTAATGTCCTCTTAATTAAGGAAAATATTGTTCATATTCCTACGCTATTTGCGATAGTAAAATTGATACTGGAGCTGTTTACATTCAACTGTCATACAATTTTAGCCAATAATACTATAGAATCTGAAAACTTACCAGAAAAGAAAAGCATGTGTTGGAAGTTCATCGGGATGGGTGGTTTTCTTCCCAAATTCAACAGGAACGACAAAGGATAGATGTTAACGGCTCGGCCCAGGGTCGAAGTGATCTAAAAGCCTTTGCTAAGGAAATTTTGCTTAAAAGAAGAAACTACGTAACGCTATAGTGCTGTAGCAAACATTGCATCGACTGCACAAAAACAATGTCTTCTTTTTCGGCCACTAGAGGTCTAGTAGGCCACCAAGCATATTTGGTTCTCTATTTGTCTCTTTTACTCAAGCCGGCATCACAAAGCCAGTAAGAGAGACAGCTCCAATTCGCAATGCAGATTAGACTCTATTTTGTTTTAAAAAGGATACAAATCCAGCAATGATGAACCACGGGTCGAAATGGTGTTTCGGGAAGGTGAACATCGAAACCCCTATGTAGGTGAATATGAAGTTCTCAGCCAAGAAGTTCAGCAGTTCGAATAGTTGTTTGGTCCGGTTACGGGAGTCCGATGACAGGTTGTTGTATGTGTAGTGGGCTTGGCAAATCCCGCAGAACAGTACTGCCACAACGCCTGCAAAAACAATAGATTAGAACACTTCTTAAATTTTTTTAGAACGTTTGTTTAAAATTTAGGGTGCAGAATAGCTGTTGACAGACATACATTTTGTTAAAAAGTTATCGTGATCCATTAACGCGACATACAGGTCAAGATGAATCGAACCTATTTAACACATTGTGGGAGACTGGGAGATTGAAAAGGATTTTTTCAGTAGTTGCATTTGTTCCAATTTTGTTTAAAAGTAAATATAATACGTATTAGAGCATAGGAAATAGTCATGTAAGAATAATAAAAACCAGTTATCGTAACTACATATTATTCAATTGCAATTTTATTTACTACATTTACATTTATACCGGATACAGTTAATAGGTACTAAAAAGCTTCCAGCAGATCTGTTATTTAATTATAATATCTATTAAAAGAATGAATAAATTCTAAGTATGATGAATGAGATGTTATAGAAATAGTGATCTTACATCACCATTTGCATTTATGTCTTATTACATTATAAGGTCATGCACTAATTGGTTAAATTGACATGGCGATATACGGCAATGAAAAATTTTGCATATTGATAACAGAAACTTGTTACTTCCATTTGTACACTGTAAGAAGATACTCGGAGTAATTTAAATGAACGAATTGACCTCATTTTGGCTGGAAAAATACTAGTATGTTTTAAGCCTTATCACATTTGCCGAGTGTGAGCGATTGCCAAGCGTTTTCACACGTGCACAAGGCACATTCGCTTGGTTTTTTTTTTCAGTATCAAACATTTTCAACCTGTATAGGTGAGGGAGCAATCGCGGGGTATGTCTATAAAATGTCTGTACAAGTCTAACAGTGATCTTCGAATGTGTTTCCATCACGGAAAGCAAAAAAATACGCGTCAAAAGTTTTTCCGTGCCTTTTTCTTGTGATGCGGATTTCGGCACGCGCATATGAAATAATGAAATGCAGGCAGCCCGTATGCGGACCATATCCGCATCACAGGAAAAACGCACTAAATTATCTTTCACCTAATTCTATGCGGACTTTTTGCACTAAATAGGTATTGTAATTTCATATTAAACTAGCTTTCCGCCCGCATGAAAAAAGGGCTATTTTAGGGTTTTCTCGGAAATTATTCGAACTTTTCACGTCGTAAAAACCATCCTTGGACTTCAACGAACATTTAAAAAAAAAAGAATTGGTAAAACTGCTCCAGGCGTTGTTGAGTTATGCGCTTACCAAGTATCACCAACACATTTTGCGATTCATTTTTAAATTATAGATTAATTTCTTTGGATAAATTAGTAACATGTGACATAACACGTACCTGTAAGTTCGCACACTTCTGCGATGAGGAAAGCGGCGTACGACATGAGAACAAACAGCGCAGACTCCAGAAGCGGCCATTCGCGGACATGCGTGAACTTTGTCATGTGCACAGCGGTTAAGGAAATATTGCATTAATTGAATATATTAATAAAGTCGTAAATTGATTCTTAACTATCAAAACATTGTAAGTAATTGGTAATTCCCCAAATGAAAAGGTGGAGCGTTATGGAAATTTTCTTAGATACGCAGTTTGGCGCGCATCGCAATGCAGACCGGTTTTCTAGTACATTTTTTTATTAAACGATCTAAATCGTCGAATTTACCGATGGCATTTTAAAATTATGGAAATTTCACCTAGAAACCAGTTTTATGCCGTTCATTATGCTTCATGTCAAGTTTCGAGTGATTTTTTATTACTGATTATTAGTGATGGGCCGACTATGGTCTTTGCCGACTAACCGACTAGCCGACTAATCGGTTTTCAAATTGCCGATTAGTCGGCCGACTAATCGGCAATGCCGATCATTCTAATACCTACTTGTCCGAAGAATATCTAGATTTTCTCAAAGAAACATGAATAATCTAGATTTCTAAGGAGATAAATATAACTTCTTGAGAAATTAGATTTCTTTAATGAGAAAAAATAAAAAGCAAAATTACAATCACCTAACAGTACCTAAGGTAGATGTCATAATTTTCGACGGCGCGGCGGAGGGGTCAGAGGTGACAATATGATCGCCTCCTGCTGGGCTAGGATGCGCGCCGTGATATTATTCTTACTTCATCATCATCATTTCAGCCATAGGACGTCCACTGGTAAACATAGGCCTCCCCTA